ACACACACACACACACACACACATACACACACACATATACATATATATATATAAACAGAGATCGACAATTTAAATTGCTTTTATCGGAATTTGAGGGCGTGAAAACAGGTGCGTATCTATTTGTTTGCGTGAATAATTGGATGATGGGAATTATGAAGAATTCAATACAAACATTCTGCATTTGATCAAAAAGGATAATTATTTCATTGGAATAATTTCGATTAGTTATAAGTAATAGCAATAAAGGGTAACAGTAGTAGTAACAGCTACTTAGTAAGATAAGATAAGATAAGATGAGGGAAAGGATAAAAGAAAGCTTTCTTTTTGATGTCATTTTCAATTTATGAAGTCTCAATTTGATAGAAATAAAGGCGTTCTTTTTAGAGAGCTTTTTCGATGTTAAAAACAACGAAAAAAAAGGAGAGAAAAAGAATTGATTAAAAAAGGTAATTGAAAGAGATGATTTGGTTAGAAGTGAATTGAATAGGCGAATGAATAATCTTAAAAGAGTTGTTAATTATTGGAAGAAAAAATTTTTTGGTATATAAACTATAAATTTATTTTGTTGGAATTTTCTGGCACTTTTAACAAATCAATCATTTTTTTCTTTTTCAAAAAAAAAATCGGTTCATTGCTAACGTGCAAAATGCGTGAAATTTTTCTCTAATTTTACGCATTTTGAACATAAAGAAATTATTTCAAAAAAAAAAAAAAGAGAACATTTCGTCGAACAACAATTAACAGAAATGATTTCATGCAAAAAATTGAAAAATTCTTTTCTTGGCAATTATTAGATTTCTTTTCATAATGAAATCATAAAATGACGAATATCGCGAATTTATCGTGAATTTTTCCATCTATTTTTCTCGTCTTTAATTTCAATTCATTTTGTTTGGCATTAATTTGAAATTAGCAAATCGGAATGAGAGATTTTGAGAATGATTACTTTGTTTCAGTTCACTTTACTCAAAAGTATTCCGAAAATTGCTGCAATAATAAAAATGAAGATTTCAAGTTATTTCACTGATTTGTTAGCTTTTGTTCGGATAACAATCAACAAAAGCCATCCGGACTGTTTTTTCATTCATTATTGTACAAATTTCATTTAGAAAATTAGAAATTATGAGCTAATAAAAATTCAAGGAGAAAATTTTTCTTTTTACACAGTAATCGTTTTTGATTTATTTAAATATCCATGAAAAAATTGGGTAATTTTGTTCTTTAATCTACTATTATAATAATTCGTTTCACTAATTAATTCTCTCCAAGTGTTGGATTGAAAAAAGAAATGAAATTGTCAAATCTTTTCAAAATTTTAATTTTTTTATGTCAAATAATTGCAGAAAAGAAATGAAAATAATTAAAAATCTTTCAAAATTTTAATTTTTTTTTATGTCAATTAATTGCGGAAAAGAAAAAGTGAAATATTTAAAAAACTTGGAAATATTATAAATGTATGAAAGAGGGGGAATGTAAATCTCAATTAATAATTCACTAATAACTTCAGTTCTGTTTATTGTAATCGGAAATACGAAGTGCTGAAAAAGAACAGACTAATGAAAAAAGTTTTACAAGAAACTTATTTGAGCTAACTAAATTGAGCGGTTGCTGATTTTTATATGACTGAGATTTATTTAAAATGAATTTACAGAAGAGACATGAATGAAAAAACATTGCATATAAAATTAATAGGATATATTTAAATTTAAACGATCAATAGACCGCTTAAATTAATTGGCCGGTTACCGTACTGTTCTACAGAATGGTCAACAAATCAACCAAACGGATGTATTATTTATGAATGACCGTCAACAATTACATATTGAATCAGCTACGGATCAGGATGCCGGTCGATATTCATGTGTGGCAGAAAATAAGCCTGGTCGAGCGGAAAAAGATCTTATCGTTGCTGTACTAAGTTAGTCTTTTTTTTTGTCGAAATTTAGTTTTTTAATTAACCTAAAAAAATCCAAAATCCTAAGTAATTTATATATAAAATTCAAATTGATACGTTTGCTTATTAAATATATTCTCTGATATTTTCCCCATTAACTATTAATTCCTCACCAATAGTAAATTCTTATTTTACATGCTAACTATCCTATCCTGTATAAAATTACAACTTAATTTTTTGATTTTGAAAAAAAAAAGATCAAGTTTCAAAGAATGATTGGTTCATTTTTGAGTGTAAGATATTTTATTGGAATGAATACGAAAATTGTTGTTTATTAGATAGTAAAATCTAAAATACAATTCTTGAAAGATAAATTGAAATTTTATATAACTGTACTTATTAATACCTGTACATAATAGAACCACCACAAATGGATAGTCAACATCGCGTCTTTGAATTACCCGAAAATGAAACGATAACACTGACCTGTCCAATTAACGATCCATCAGTGGAAATACAATGGACTAAGAATGGCATTCCAATTACCACATCAAATAACTTACAGGTTAGCATGTTAAAAGATAAATGATAATAAAATTGCAATTGCATTATTATATTTTTGTATTGCGAATTTTTCATTCCGTCAATGAAAAGCATTGCCGGTTTTTCATTAATGAAAAGTAATGCTAGTTTTTCATTTCGCTTATCGTTGCTTCCCTCAGGTTAATAAAAAGAAAATAAGCCAAAAAGATCAGGTCACTTCCTAAAATCCAATCTAACCATTCTCAATTCAGATATTACTAGCCATGATAAATGATAATAAATTAGGAATAGCAATGATTTCTTATTGGCGTGTTATGTGTATTCATGAAATTATACTGAATTTTAAAATTAATTCCGTGAAAAAAATAGTTTATGCTGTTAAAAAAAATGAAATAATTTCTTCTTTCATACTGTATGAAATGAAATTGATAGGAAAATCCCGAAAAACTGGTTCTTCATTTAAAACATAACAAAATAAGAAAGGGTATAATTTTGGCGCGGGGTTGCTATTCGAGTGATGCGAAAATTCATCAAATAAATGACACATCGTCGTGATTGATTTATTCCCAACAAAATTTATTGCTATTTTTCGAAAAATAGTTTTTTTTTTCCTTTTTTTTAAGAATAATTTTTTGACAATATCAATAAAATTTCGTGAAACGAATGTACGGTATCAAAATTAAAGGGGACTGTTAAAGAAGTTTTTTTATTCAATTTTTTGAAATTGAATTCAGCTTAACCTATATGTACGGGTTATAGCAAATCTCTCTAATCAATTTTGTACCAAAAAAATTGAAAAAAGAGCTAGTAAAATTGCATCAAATGTTATAAAAGTATTTGAAATTCATCAATTTTTGTAGTTGAAATTTAACTAAGATCCAGTTATAAATTTAAATGAAATAAAAAGTGCTAGTTATTGTGAGTTGCAGCTATCAACAAGCGGCTTAAAATTGCATATCCTACATGGACAACTTTATGATGCAGGTCGATATGTTTGTCGAGCATGGAATGATGCCGGAGAAGCAATTGCACACATAAATGTTGTCGTTTTAGGTAAATTTAATTAAGTAACAAAAAGTTGGCAATTTCAATTATACGAGAAGCCAACTGATTAGCTTTTATATAAAATTAAATTAACTGTCAACTTGAATTATCCGCAGATCCGATGAATTACTTAAACAACAATTAGCAAAAAGAAAAAAATAGGAGCCTTGAATGAATTCATATTATTCTATAAATATTTCCGTATATATAAAATTTTTATCGCTTATTCAAACACAATTGATATATTATCTTTGATAGAATCTCTAAAAGAGTGATAATACAATTTATATTCGAATATTTTTGATTAAAATTGTATGAAAAAAATTCTTGGAAATTCATTTGTTCGTGTCTTTTTATAAAGTTTCGCTTTAATTTATTCAGTCTGAATTAAAATAGGTTTCAATTTCAAATTTAACTCCATAAATATTTCCATGAAATTATTATTTGCTTTGAAAGAAATCTTTTGATCAAATTAATAAATGGGTAAATGTTAATTTATATTCAATCAACATTTAACTGAAAATCTACGCTCTTGATAAAATTGATAAAATTATGGAAATGCAACAATAAGTAATTAATCGAGTTACTTTTCAATGATAATGATTACTGAAATTTCCATATAATTTTAGTAATTTCTATAAACCTGTTTGAAACATAGAAATGTAAAAGTGAAGGTAAAAGAAAATTTTGTGAATCATTTTTTGAATCAATTTTGTAAATTTTGTGAATTTTTGTGAATTTTGTGAGTCATTTTTTAAATAATATTGCATAAATTGGCTTTTAGTGCCACCAAAAATTATTGGGTCAGCATTTCGTACGATTGAATCAGTTTTGAATCAAACAGTTAATATCGAATGTAAAAGAACTGGCATACCGACACCAAAAAATACTTGGTCCTTCAATGGACGAACAATTTTTCCATCCGAAAAAATTCAAGTATTTAATTTGTTCAAAATTTTGATGCAATTAGAAAAACCATTGAAATAGATGTAAAAGTGATTTAACTCATTTTATTCAATTTTTTTAATGAGCTTTTTATTTCTTGACAATTTTGATATGCCACAATTTTAGAATATGATATTTTAATGCGGAGAAAAAAGTAATTTGACTTACCTTTTTATTTAAAATTGTTAAAAGTCAGCATTTTTATGCGTTCGATTTTGCAGAAATTGAAGTTTATCCAAAATTCCTATCAAATGTTTAATTTGTGAAGCAATTTTTTTATTTGAAGTTTTTGTTTATTGACATATTTCATTTTAAATTTTCACGTTATTTCACATGTAACTCTTTTACATATAACCAAAAATTTGTCATTTTTAATTTAGATTTTAAATAATGGTACTTTACTGATATTGAAAGAAATACAAGCAAATCAGGAAGGACGATATTCGTGTACGGCAACAAATAAGGTTGGAAGAGCTGAAGCTGATACGTTCTTGCAAATTATTGGTAAGAATTAAACTTCAAGCTACTTAAAAACTTGAATACCGCAATTATTTTTTTCCGTATCTACTCTTATAAACTCAGTTCAGAAATTATTTCATTAATTTTTTACTGATTAATTTAAATATTGGATTAAACTTTTTTTAATTTAAATCATTTTATATGGCTGAATATTGTAGCACCGCCAAAAATTTTAACATCAATCGATGAATTGAAAGTAATCCAAGGACAAGGACAAACAATTCGTTGTGAGATGAGTGGAACTCCAACGCCAAAAGTTGAATGGCTCAAAAATGGACAACGATTTAATGCTACAATGGCTCAATCGTCCAGTAATTTGCATTACATTCATCTGAGGTTTCTTTTTCAAATTTCAAAATTCAAAAAATTTCATGCAAATAAACAGGACACAAAAGATGCCAATTTAAATATTACTTTATTCAATTAATTAAATTAACATAAATGGAATCCTGCATATTTTGCATCAGTATTGTCTCGAATTACTTTAGAATTTTGCAAATTAACTTTGTTAAATCATGCATGTTTTTTAATGAAAATTGATTGAGATTAAGAATTGTTACATTTAGATTAATCACATAGTGAATGCATTCAATTTCTTTGTTAACTTAAAATCTAAGCAGGATGAATTAATTTAAAATAATAAAAAAAAAAACAAATTTAGGGAAACGCAAGTTAGTGATGCAGGACGATATACATGCATAGCAAGGAATCGAGCTGGTGAACATCGGATGACAACGCAACTTTATGTACTTGGTGAGTCGATTGATGCACTGATATGATATGATATGTACAAGGAAGGATATTATCCCTGAATTTTATATCTCACAATAATATAAATATTTATTGGAGTTAATGATGGAATTATTGTAAAAAAGACTTATCCTTTCCTTCTTTAAATTTTGAAATTTAAAAAACTACCAAAAAAATAGATGAGGAAAAATTTTTTAACAATCATTAATAGACACTCTCATATCTCTTTTATATTCTGTTATTTTTTTTTTTACATCATCATTTTATAATAGAAAATTTGGATATAATTATTGTAAACATCATTTTGTTTACGGTAGAATATCAAACTTTTTTTTAGTGCCACCATTGATTCTGGAAGGTGAACGTGTTGTGCAGGTGAAAGAAAATGCTACAGTAACATTAGAATGTATTGCAAGTGGAAATCCGAAACCGATAGTTGTATGGAAACGTGACGGACGACTTTTGGATATACGTGGCTCACGTTTTGTGATTAAATCATCAAAAGCATCTGATGGTGGCAGGTAATAATGATATTCTCTTTAAGTAAAAATATTAATAAATTAGAATGCTATCAAGAAATGCAATTATTGTAATTCGTGAAACATTGATTCAGTAAAATGTACCATAAAACTTTTTCTCGCAGATCCGTGAATATTTAACAACGAGGAATAGTTTCTGTTAATCTGGTATTTTATTTAAGACATCTCGAGAAATATTGTTGTATGGAAATTGCCCAATTTCAATTACTGTCAAGTCTAATGTCATTCCTTGTTTTAGTGGTTTATATCTAAGAAATAGTCAATGTTTTATTTGGTATAAAAATATATTATGAAAAAAAGAAAACTTAAAATTTTTCAATCATATCATTAGGAATGTAAAAGAATCTAGAGAAACGTGTAAATTTTAGGTACACGTGTGAAGCACGTAATGAAGCTGGCAAAGTATCAACTGATTTTGAAGTTGATATTTTTATTAAGCCACGTTTTCGAGATCTTAAAGCGGAAATTCGAGTTCGCAATGGTGAACGAGCACGTCTTGAATGTAAAGTTGATGGACATCCTGAACCAATCATCACGTAACATTTTTTACATCTAACTGATAACTGCTATTTTAATAAATTATCACTAATACGATTGAACAATATTTCAATTATTCATTCAGAAACAATATTTGGTACTGTAATTTTAAGATTCAAAAAAAAATCTCATATATTTGTAATTTTAGATGGATGCGTGGAGGTCGTCCAATTGAAGATATGAAAAATATCATATTGAGTCCACGTGGTGAAACAATGATGATTCTTAAATCACGCAGGTTTGATTAAAATATATTACATATTAAAATAAATTTTAACATGCTGCAAGTTAAGAGGAAAAGAAAAGAGAAACAAAAAGAAGAGAGACAAATTAAGGTTATTCAATATCTTTAATTTATAAAAAAAAATTCATATTCATATATTCTTTTTGTAGAGCAGATTCTGGAAGTTATTCGTGTGTTGCGAAGAATTTTGCCGGAGAAGCAGAAGCAAGTTTTACAGTTACTGTATTGATAGCGCCACATATCGATGAACAAATCGATCAGAATTTACGTGTTGTTCAAGGCACTAAAGTTATCATGCATTGTCCGGTGCAGGGCAATCCAAAACCAAAGGTCAATTAAATAATAGTGAATTCATAATGCTAACAAATATTTTTGAATATAATTTCATTTTTACAAAAGATCAGTTTTTTTTTTTTGTTTTAGATCAAATGGTTATACAATGAGAAGCCAATTAAGATTGATCGTGCAAAAATCATTGACGAAACTGATTTGGTCATTGAAAAATCAAAGGTATTAAGTGGGAATTTTTAGTTTACAGTTGAAAAACGATGAATATATTTTAACTTACAATTGTAATAAAGAAATGATATGCAGCGAGAAAGATTGAGATTATGAGAGTTTTATGAATTTTTAAATTTATAGATTATAATTCAATTTATTATAATTTAGTAATAGCTATTCTCTCTCTTTAGCAATATGATAGTGGACGTTATACGTGTTTCGCAGAAAATGAAGCTGGAATACTGAATACAAATTATGAGCTTGAAATTATCGGTAATTTTGATTTTTACTGTTTTTTTATAATTAACTTTTTAACATTGAAAATTTATAAATTTCCATTAAGATAAGTTATATGATTGTATTATTTCACATTTTAAACATATTGGAAATGAATTTTAGCATTATTCAAGCGAACTCTTCAGAAAATTTCCTGCTAATAGTAAAAATTATAGCTGTAATAAAAATTACAGGGAAAAAGTATTATTATTTTTCTTTTAATTTCTGAAATTAAATTACAAATTACAAATTTTTCTTCTAATTTCTGAAATTAAATTACAAATTACAAAAAAAAAAATGAAATTACAATTACAAATTTGTGATGAAAACTGAAATTATTAGGTCCACCGAAGTTTCATCATCGTGGTGAAACTGTTTATGAGGTGATCGTTGGTAAAACGGTAACGATGGATTGCGATGTTGAAGCTGAACCAAAACCGGAAATTTATTGGCTCCGCGGTGATTCACCCTTATATTTTACTGACAAAATTCACATTTCACCGAATAGACAGGTCAGCTGTTTCATTATTTCAATATAAAAATGTATTTATTCGTTTTATATTGAAAGCATTATGATATGTGATATTTGATAGCCTTTTGATTTAACTCTATAATTTAATTGGATTTAAAATTTTTCCAATTATATATATATGGAGTCAGAATTGGAAATGATCAAAGATGGAGACGGCTATCATAAATATCATTATTGCAAATTAAAAATTTTCACTTTTATCAGAAATAATTTAAATTCTAAAATAGCAATAATGGAAATTATCTTTCTTTGTTTTCAGTATAAGTGAAAAAATTCGCTTGCAACGTATTAGTAATTAATAGTTAATTAAAAATGGGGCTATATTTGGGAATGTTACCATTGTTCAGCAATATCAGTTTTTCGGTAAACAAAAGTATCTCAATTTTTTTTGAAAAAACCGTCTTCAATTATTTAACAATCAGATCAAATATATTTGTAATTCTATTTTCATAAAATTAGGAATAGAAGAATTCTCAATAATTTATTATAGCATTAAGGTTGTTATTGAATATTGACCAATTAGAATTTATCTTTTCAACATGCAAACCTTTAAAGAAAGCGTAATTAATGCTTTCGATAATTTAGGAATGAATGCAATAACTTAAATTATTCTATCATCAGTTACCGAATTATTACCTTTTGATTACAATCAGTTAGCAAACACTAAACATCATTTCACCATCTTTCTTTGCTACATTTTTCCATATTTCAAAATTTCATTTACTTCCGGTGAAGTTAATAGCTATATGAATGTCTACCCAATTGTGTATAATCTACAAATTGAAACCTTGCAACCTTCAAATCGTGAGTGATTAGAAATATAAGTTTCATTGTAAAAAAATATGACCATTTTAATCAAAGTACATTTAAATTGAAGTCAAATATTTTTTTCGTTGATAAGATCTTAGGCATATAGATTTTTAGCTATCGTTTTTACACATAATTCTAATAGTTGTTTACATATTTTTGAATTGATATTTGTCCTGTTCTCGACAGCTTACGTAAAAGCACAATATAATTGCGTTGAATGCATGTGCAAAATAGTGATAATACTTTTGCGCTAATCGATTAATGAATAAATCTGTAATGTTATGAAATCTAAATCACTAAATTGCACTCATGCAAATTAGCAACACGATTTTAAAAGCCTAGTTATATTTATTAATTCTGATAAGTGTAGTAAGAGGCTGAATTTCAAGTATGCACTGTTATTTCATCCATTTGAAAGGTTTTGAAGAATTTTCGTCATACATTTATAATTGAGTATATTGAGTAATAAATTGATAATTCAAAAATAGTTTGGTTAACTTTTGTTTTCGACCGAGCTAATGAAGCTTTATAACAAAAATTTGCATTTGATTTTTACATATACATATATATATATATTAAAATCAGAAATAAAAAATTTTATAGCTGAAGCAAACTGTTATGAAGAATGACCACAAATGACCATTTATAAAGCATACACTCAATGAAAATAATGATCATGAAATAATTGATTTGAGAAGGAAAAAAGAAACAGCAGTAGCGATCAATTAAAAAAAAATTAGTAATATGAATTGGTTTTGAGATTATTGAAATAATTTTTTCAACATTTCCATCCAATACAACAAATAGGGGGCCTTCAACAGTTGGACCATTTTCTACTTATAATTGCGATAATTTTTCTGTCCCATTTTTGTATTAGCCAAATTTCTTTACTATTGGACGTATATTTTTTGAAAAATAAGCATATCGATAAGCTGAAATTCAATAATTCTTTATTTTTCCTTCACACTTGTAGCGTGCCATTTCTAATTAAAAAATTCATTTCTGTCGCGCTCAAAACAATCATCAAATTGCTTTAGGAAATATTTGTATTTGGAATTATTTATATTTCGCATACTTCTATCAATTACTTTAATATGTAATTATCGATTCAGGCAATGATTGAACAAGTTTAATAATTTCTAGCTCCAAAAAAAAAAAAAAATGATTAAAATAAGCGCACTTATCCAATATGGTATTTGCAAAAAGTTTTTTTTTAGAAGTATTTCAGTAGAAATTATGATTTTAAATATGTGCAATTGTTTTTTACAAATTTCAACATTTTATAGCAAATAACGATCCGTAATGTGGAAATGAGCGATGGTGGCAAATATACTTGCAAGACAAAAAATGAAGCAGGTTCAGCGGATATTGACCTGACATTGAAAGTGTTAGTACCACCCAGTATCGATACGTCAAATATCATCGGCAATCCATTAGCTGTTGTTGGAAAGTTTGTTTTAAAAGATGGGTCATTTTTAATTTTTCAAATACATTCATAAAAATTTCAACAAAAGAAAGAGGAATAGATGATAAGAGATGAGTGGGAATTATCTCTTAGAATTTCAGGTTATATTTGAAAGTCTTAAATTCCCTTTCTCGAATTTTCCGTTTTTACTTTTACTTTCGTTGAATATCTTGTTAATTTTTACATTCTAAAGATAAATTATTATCTATCATGTAAACATGAAAAAGGCACGTTTCTACGATTTTGATAGTTACGTTAATATCGATAGCGGTAATAACTATAACAATTCCTATCAACATAGTAAAAAGTTATAATTTTATTAGTATATGCTCTAAAATTTATTTACACTTTTCATATAATTTTACAATTTTTATAATTAATTTTGCATTTACAACGATTTTGTAAATTTATCAAGAATTTCATTTGCTTCTCGGTTCCATCAAAGTTTTTTAGTTATATTTATTATGTCCCCAATCAATATACTAAAAATTTATTTGTATATAAAATATTTCTTTAATTTTTTAAAAAATTTATCAAAGCCATGTTAATTTTCTACTTTATAAGATCTTCTTTTTCAGTTTTTTGTTTCAGTTATACATTTCTTAATAAAGAAATAGCAAAATTTTTCAAATCTATCGAAAAAATCAATCCAGTTTTACTTTAAAATAAATTTATATTAATCTTGCAAATAATTGTTTTTTTTTGCATTCTTTCCTTCTCAAAATTCTTGAAACTAATTTCTATTAATTTTAAAATTTAAAAAATGATACAAATGATTTTAAAGAAAGAAAAAAACAAACACAACAGTCGAATAATTTATAAGATCCATAATTCTTTGTTAATTTATTAAAAAAGAAAGAAAAACTTTGTGCTAATAAAGAAAGATTTTGTGATACTGGAAATTTTTAATCAAGTATTTTGCAGATCAATTTACTTGGAATGTCCAGTTTCCGGGATTCCACGGCCATCAGTGATATGGTACAAAGACGGTATTCTATTATCCACTGATAATGATCGTTTTGTTATTGAGCAGGTTTGATTATATGAAATTATTAAGCATCATATATCTAACAATTTGCTATTTAAAATTGTCCAACAGGACAGTTTGTTTGTATGTGTAATGATAAAGGACATTATCCAACAGTGTTGTGAAAATTCCTTTGTTGTTCGAGAGTCAAAGCAGTTAGAACTTCCAAATTTTATTTTCACACTGGGGATAGTAATAAGAACTGTATTCCACGAACAAAGTGTTATCAATGAATAGCAGTAAATTTGTTTTATTGATATCGGATTATAAGGATCGAATATATGGAAGCGTTGATTGGAGATGGGCTAGATAAAATTTTGTATCGACGAATTTGATTGAAGAGCGGAATTCAGAGTTAGGAAATTGTTTTGCCTCTCCCGATCCCCTCGATGCCCATCTCATGGGTATTTAAAGGATTATAAGATGGGGTGTTGAATTGATAACAAGATAGCTATGAAAAAAAAATATCAAATATATAAGTTTAAATTTTAGTGTTTAACTATTTGCGCGATTACTTTCGCGACAAACAGTACCCGCAACCAATAAGAAATAAAAATTTGACAAACAATTCAAATTTTTGCAAATTAAAATATAGTAATGAAAATTTATGAGTGATTTGAATTTCTTTTTATAAATAGTACTTTGCAGAATAATCAAACATTTGGTATCAAAGAAGTAAAAGTAAGTGATAAAGGACAGTTTCTTTGTGTAGTCGAGAATAAAGGAGGTCGAGTGGAGCAAGGTTTTAATTTGGAAGTTTTAGGTTGGTACCATAACAAAACTTAAACAGTTTTTTGTTTCCTTTCTTCTTTTCTATATGTGTACGATGATTAACTTGATATATTCCAGAGAATTTTGTTAAATCTTCAAATTTTAGTACCACCAAAACTTGAAACAGTGGAATCACAGAAATATACAAAACGAGAAAAAGATAGCATGACATTGTACTGTCCAATAAAACATGATGAACAATCGACAACTCCTACTGAAATTTTATGGTACAAAGATGGTCGTCCAATTGATGGAGTTACAGTACCAAAGATTAAAGTTAGTTAAATCGTTGTTACTTCCCAACTTTCTTTTTAAAAAACAATTCCATTTGCTTCCCAAATATCAATTAAATTTTCAAACTGCACAAACAATTTTCAAGTTTGTCATTTTTTCAAAGTTATTGCTTTATTTAATATTTGATATTGAATTGATTGTTAAATTGAATGTGATGTTACTGAAGATTTTCAGTTTATTTTAATAGAAAAAAAAAATGTTTAAAATAAATTGTCTGATGAGAATCTATGAGGAGGAATTAATTAATTAATTCCTTCTCATAGATTCCCATCAGATAATTTATGTCTGTTTTGAGAGTTTTTCTATTTGATGTACATTATTGAATAATCAACCGTTATTTCTTATATCCAAGAAGATTGTGTGACTGCTATCATTTCCTTATTATAAATGCTTAATTCTTCATAAACTTTAATTTTTTCATTTTTTTTAAAAAAGTAAAATATTCATTATTTTTACCGCTTATTATAATCCTCACAATTTCAGATCACATCTAAAGGTCAACGTTTACATATCACTCGTATGTCACTTGCTGATTCCGGCAATTATTCATGCGTTGCGTTGAATCGTGCCGGTGAATCATCACTTGATTTCTACGTGGAAATACTTTGTACGTATTTCACCTTTAAGCATTATTAGAAAACTGAAAACTAAGCATCTAAAAAGCATAAAATGTAAATAACGCTAATCTTCATGAAAGAAATTCCATGAAAAAAATTTTTTCTTAACTATTAATTCATTGAAAATAATAGATAGCACCACCGACAAACTGACAATGTTTTCTCAACATTGCAGGAAACCAGTAGAATTAAACAGGTAGGATGCTTAATACATCTTTTAATGATAACAGAGACAAAATTGATAACATTTTAATGATAACAGAGACAAAATTCAGATTATTGTGTAAAATAACTACTAAGGGGAATTAAATTTTCCAAACAAAGTTTTTTTTTTGTGCAGCTAATAAAAATCAGAAGTTATTTATATAGTGATTAAAAAAACAATTATTTATATGCCGATTACAAAATAATTTATTAAATAGCGATTACAACGATTATAATTGAAATGGTTTCATCTGGACTGATATATTGATGAGAAAAGTATTAAATAATTTGGCAATGCACCTTTATAATTAATATTTCAATTATATGAATGAAATGAGTCAGTCATTATACTGATTCTGTTGGCTGATTTATGAGCAAAGCTCATATGTACACAATTTAATTACTAATATGTATGCTAACAATTTTATAGGATTTGATGAGATAATTCATGATTGATCGTTTTTCTTATCAATAAACTGTATGTGTCATTATGATAAGTGGCAATTAATAACTGTCAAATCATATAATTAATTTTAACTTTATAGAATTTAAAAATTATGAAATCGCCCATGAAAAATGTTTTTGCTCTTATTTTATTGAAATTTCATTAACATCGATTTCCACGTTTAACGCTTATTGAAATTGCTAAAAAAAAAAGCTTTTTGATCGGTCTTAATTTGCTGATCCTAATACATCTGCATGATATTGTTGTACTAAAATAATTGAATACTTGACAGGATAATTCGTTTACTGTCCGTGAAAATTCTCAAATACGCTGTTCCTTCTAATAAGCGATGATTTTTGCATGAATTTTTTTCAGATTCAAATAATGTTAACTTCCAACCTTTGCTTTCTCGAGTTTATTTGTGATTGCTGAAAAGAATAATTCTCGAGTGTCGATTCTCAAAAATTAACAGAAAATGCGAACTTTTTTAATGACATGTTGCCTGATGTCAAGAAGTGCATTTGAGTTACAGTGAGCGAGATTTCATTTCAAATTTGTTGAGATTTGAATGAATAAACAAACAAACGATAAGGAAAGGAAGTCATTATAATGATGGATGAAAAGAAAGATTGTAAAAAGAAGTTAATTTAGAATTTTTTTTAAAAACGACTAATCTCAAATTTTTATATTTTAAGAATTTATTAGGACGTAAGCAGTGCAAAATATTAAAAGTACCATAGGTAATTTTTACCATAGGCTAGCAGTAATAAAATTTTTAAATTTGATTTTTACTGTTTAATATTGTTTTTCGATCAATTTTAATTTGCTGATCCTAGAATATCTGCAAAAAAAATCAAGTTTAAAAATTTTATCATTTCATTGTTTACCATCAATAATTATTACTGTCAATTTAATTCTTCGATAACAAATTGCATGCCAGTAATATCTGTAAAAGAGAATATAAGATATATGTAAGATAGTTAAAACGAACGTTCAAGAAATATATAAAACGAAGTACACAATATGGAATGAAGTACTTAATATTAAATGATTAAATTATATCTAATTGAGTAATTAATCTACCAAAGTTTCTTGCTTGAGTTATGCAAGTACTAAAATTGGAAAGTGCATTTGTAACTTTCAATCCATTATATGTAAATTCAAATTTAATAAAAATAACTTTGCTACCGATTATTGATCATTTAATTTTCAAAAAATTTTAATTTAATTGTCATTATTATTTAATTGGAAAAATTTTCTTAAATTGCAGCAGCACCTCATTTGGATTATAGTCGTAACGAGCAACAACCACATGTTATTGCCGGACGTCCTATCACTCTGTGGTGCATGGTTTCCGGATATCCATTACCGACAATTCGATGGATGAAAGATGGTTACCTTGTACCAATCAATAAGAAAAGTGATATACGACTGGTCGAGAATGGACAGGGTTTAGTAATTTAATTAATTCCAAATATAGAAACTTTGCACTTAAAAAGATTAAGTGCATTCAAATTATAAAAGAAATGAATTTATGCATATTTTAAAAGTTGCTCTTAAAATTTTAGGATTGGAAATTTTGGAAGCTAAACGTGAGCATGCCGGTATTTGGACGTGTGAAGCATCAAATGCGGCTGGTAAAACAGATTACGAATTAACGTTGGATGTTTGGAGTAAACTTTTTTTATTCTTACAATATTGTTTTTTTTCTCGACAAATTATGGAATTAATTATTTTTCGTTAAATAACTTAAATAGGGAATTGTTATTTAAACAAATATCATCATAGATTTTCAAATATTTTCATTTCATACAAATCTACTAACATTTTCAGCACTTCCAATCGTGTCCATACAACCGGTTGATAATGTTCGACCTATCGATAGTGTTATCATCATACATTGTCAAGCTACTGGTAATCCCGAACCATCCTTATCATGGAGTAAGGATGGTCAACCACTTATCACTTCTGCAAATGGTCAGCTTATTATTAATAGTTGAAAGAATTAATTGATTTATAAAAACTTAAATTTTAATCAGTAAATGAAAATATGTTTCATGTGGAATTGAGCAAAAAAATAAGGAAATAATAATTAGTTAGAAATGTGAAATTAATAAATTAGCAAACATAGATAGATATAAGAAATTTGAATCATAAATAGATATTTTTATTAAATTAAAAAAAAATATATTAGTTAGCATGAATGTTTTCGTTTTCATATCAGTTAAGATTCAGTTACATGTTTTGTCTATAATTAGGCCTCAACCTACCTTTTTTTTTTTAAATTTTAGGCGCAAGAATTTCATTAAAAGGAACAAGATTGGATATTCCTCGTTTGAAACAATCACACGTAGGTGAATATACGTGTACTGCGGTGAATGAAGTTGGTACATCATCTGCTACTGTACACATCGATGTTTTAGGTAAAGTGTACAGATACAGTGAAATCTATTAGAAAATTGTTTCAAAATTCCAACTTCTGAAATTACATCTTTTAACAAAATCCAATAATTGAAATATCATTTCCAGTACCACCGGTAATTAATCGTGATAACATCGAGATGAGTCCACGATTGCCAACTGCTCAAACATTAACATTAATTTGTGATGCAACCGGTAAACCATTACCTGAAATATTTTGGTCAGTTTGTTTTTCTCATATTTACTCTATCAATTTTAATATATTTAATTGTTCTTTTTTTGAAAAAAATAAGACCAAAATTTTACAATTTTTTTCTCTCTTAGAATTTTTTTATAAATTATTAGACTCACAGCAACATTAACTATAAAATACTGTATTACTCTATAGGTATGTGAATGATACTATGGTACGTGAAACGACGTCAAATGTAATCATTGGTGAAAATGGTCGTTATCTTCAAGTATTATTTTCAGTTAAAAGATATTTTAAAAAAAGGCACAAAAAATTTTTGTAAAAATTCATTTTTTTTCTTCAAATACATTTTTTTTAAGTCCTCTAAAACTACTGAAAAAAAAAAGCATTAAATTCATAAAAGTTAAATTCATTAAATTCATAAAGGATTTTTTTTTGTTGATTGGAAAAAGATTTTTTTTTTCTGCTTGCTTATTTATTTTTGTGAGGAAAAAATTTTCTTGATTAATCTTTGAAGGTGAAAGATATCGCATTAAATAATCGTGGAGCATACAAATGTATTGCATCAAATATTGCTGGCAAAGATGAGCTTTTATATACAGTTACTATAGTCCGTAAGTCTTTTTGATATACGTTGAAATTTCAAATTTTGAATTTGATTAGTTTATTTTCTTCTTATTTTTTAAGTTAAAAAGCATTATTTATAATTTCTCAAGCGATGTTCATTCTTATCATTCATATCTTTGTTTTGACACATTTAAATGATTATTTTCAGAGGCTCCAAAAATATTGAATGGCGGTAGCTATCAAGTTATCGAGGGAAAAGAAGCTCAAATTTTATGCAATGTCATTGGTGAACCACAACCGGTAGTTACGTGGCAACGAAATGGAATTCATATTGAAACTGGGATGAGACATATTATTGAAGATAAGGTTAAATTTATGTTTTTTTTTTTTTTTTTAAATTAATGATATCAAAAAGACAACTCAAATATATTTTCTTTTCCTTCCGAAAATTTAAAAAGAAAAGAAAAGTGTATTATTGAATTATATAGTTGGGAATTTGTAGAAAATTCTGTGAAATCTAAAATTGTAGAAATTTTGCTAAAATTTTGCATGATAGAAATTTATTTATTTTATTTAGATACTCCGGATAATGGATACACGAAGTTCAGATTCCGGTTTGTACGTTTGTGTGGCAACAAATGAGGCTGGAACTGCTCAACAGGCGTTTACGCTTGAAGTTTTTGGTTTGCATATTTTTAACATTTTAATTTTCAAAATTTAAATAGCATTTGAATTTTGCACTATCGAAAATTACAGTTATTCCTCGTATCATTACAATGTTACCAAACGAATCGTTGATACCTGTTGGCAAGCCGTTTAGTTTGAAATGCGGTGTGCGTGGTTTTCCGCCACCAGATATTATATGGTCATTGAATGGTGAAATACTTGGTAAGGACAAAACAAGTTACTCTATTGGTAAGTGCAAAATTTATTGAAATCTTTTATATTCCTAAAATTCTATTAAATTCACTTTTCTACCCAGTAATAATAATGATGATAAGTTAGATTAATTTAAATTTAAACCAAAATATAGGATTAGATTTTGATGAAAATATTAAATTATAAGTATTGTACTATATATCCAAGCAAGCTTATAACTGTATCTTAGATCGAATGCGGGAGTGAACACATACGTATTTAGCACTTCCGTGACATTCCCTTCTTCTTTTGCGTCATTAATAATTCGCAAATATATCAGTGGAAACAGAATCAAACAATAATCTCAATGTGTGTTCAGCGGAGGATGGTACTTTGTTTGTTGAGAAAGCGACGAAACAAGCAATACTAACTTTTAAATGTGTAGCAAAAAATAACGCTGGTTCAGACAGCAAAGAATTTATCGTTAAAGTGATAAGTAAGTTAAATTTTTTAACTGAATATTTTCAATTTTATCGCATAATGCTCATATGAAATGAAATAAACAGTAATTGTTTAAATAACTTATAATTATTAAAATTGCAACAATTTTTCTTTTTTGCTTTCATTAATTAGTTGACTGATATTATCATTTAACAATTTAGGTCCACCAGTTCTGATAAAAGAGGGAATTAAAACAATTAATGCGACAGAGGGTGATCCATCATTGCTAATTTGTGAAATTGAAGGTGAAATTCCCGAAATATACTGGTATAAAGTATGATTTGATTTTTTTGTGCAATTTACACTCATATTTAAATTATTTAACATAAATATCAAGAATAAAAGTCTACTTTTGTAAAATTTATTAAAATTTTGAAAAAAAAATCAAAACATTTGATGATATTTAACAGAATAAATGTATTATTGAAGAGCAAAAAAAAAATCGATAGGATTTTATTATTTGATTTATAATTTTATAAAATGTGTTAAATTTTAAACTTTAATGGATTGTTTTGTACAAATTTGTTAAGAACAAAAGAAAAAAAATTTTTAGGACAATAAACCGTTGATATTAACGTCAAATATAGAATTAAGCTCGGATCGAACACAACTGAAAATACACCATTCTAAGCTACATGATGAAGGGATGTACAGTTGTATTGCTGTTAATCCGGCTGGTAACGCTACACAGAAACAACAACTTTATGTTGGCGGTTATTTATTACCAATTTTCATTTAATTTCAATTACCTAAATTTATTTGTACAGTTTTATAAATTACGAAAGTATTATATTTGTAAATATTTCAATGAGGCCATTTTTTAAAATCACAATTCAAAAGTTGACATTTAATTTTACTTGGTTCGATAGAACTAACTTTATTGTTTTTAAATGAAAATAAAATATTTTAATAAATGATAATAGATTTTGAAAAAGTTTTATATTTGAAAATGACATGAAATGATGGTTAATTTTTAGTTCCACCACGAATAACCGAAAAACCTCGGCGAATTATTGTGAAAAGCGGTCAAGCAGCTGAATTATGGTGTGAAGCAGTTGGTATACCAAAGCCGCATATCACATGGTTGAAAGATGATAAAGCATTATCACAAAGTTTGCTAATACATTATCATCATATTATCATCTTCATTACTATCAATTACCATTATCACTATTACCAATTACTATTCTCTCTCACTTTATCATCGTTATCAGTACCACCATCGATTACTATTCTCTCACTTAATCATCATTATCACTATTACTACTAATTACTGTTCTCTCACTTTATCATCATTATCACTACTATCAACTCCACTTCCCTCTCACTTTATCATTATTCAGTGTGAAATGATTGAAATTAACATTATAGCAGCATTGGATGATTATACGGATGTTCTAAAATCAACTGCTTTCTTTCCAAATGTGTCGAGTAAAGATGGCGGAGTTTATACGTGTAAGGCAGAGAATTGGGCTGGTATCAGTTATAAGGATGTCGATTTAGTCGTTCTAAGTTTGTCACATTTCTGAATTTTCTTTTAAAATTTTCACTAGTTACTGTAAATGAGAAATTATCATCGATTTCACTTGAAATTGCAGTTCCACCGGAAATTCATCCCGAACGGTTGAATATTACTGCAAATATTGATGATACAGTAATTTTGACGTGTAATATAACCGGAGTGCCTGAACCTGTTGTATCCTGGGTGAAAATGCCAAATGTTGACATTATTGGAAACGAAAAGAGTGAGATTTTCATTAATTTTCTATCTAAAAAATATTTGAATTTTTCCAATCAGCAATTCCGAAAAGTTTAAACTATACCGAATGCTTAAAAGAAAAAAAAAAACTTCAGAATATCAAATTTACGGAACGGCATTACATATCAGAAATGTAGTACCCGAAGATGATGGCTTTTATCATTGTGTTGCAAAAAGTAATGCTGGTCAAGTAATTGGATCACGACGACTTACCGTTATTGGTTCATTTAAATTTTAGAATATTTAATTTAGCAATCTTTCATTTATCTTGATTTACGAATTGAAAATGGTTACTGTGATGAATTTTTGAATATATTTAATAGTTTTGTTAAAAAATAAATATTCAAAAAGACAAAAAAAGAACATAATTTTCTATCTGTATGGAATGGATTTTGCAAAATGTTAAAAAATATTTGATAAAATATTTTTTTAGATTGTAATAATAATATTCTTAACTTTTAACTAACCGGACTGTGAAATTTCCATTTCAATTTTTTTTAGATCCAAGGAAAGATTACAAAGTGATTTGGGTGGAATGCGGTGAATCTGGCCAACCAATCAAGACGACATATGTGCCAGCACGCGGTGATGTTCCCGAAGGCGGTAATAATTTGCTACCATGGAAGCAAGATTTACAGGTATCATCCTGTGAGCTAATTTATGCAAAACTGTATCACTAAATTGATAAAAACAATTGCAAAGAATTATTTTATTGATTACTGAACTCTATACTTGAACAGTCTTGAAATTCGAGCAATAAATTTTGAGCAAATTTTATATTTCAGTTATATTGATAATTTAGAATAAAACAGTTTTTTCAAGTCAACTTTTCAATAATTATCAGGATCTTCCACAAAATGGTACTAATGGAATATTGATACGTTGTTTACCTGAATCACGTGGAATACGTCGCGCTTCATTAGCTATGCCGAGATTTATACGATCACCACGAACGCAAAAAGTTCTACCAGGAACTGTTGCTAATCTTCATTGCAGGTTATTTCCATATCGTACGTATAGAAGAAAATATAGAAATTAAAAATGAAAAAAAAATTTTTTTTTTTTAAAAAACTATTGACTAAATTAATGCAAATTTTTGTTCATTCTTTCTATTGTAAGAAAATTTACTTAAGTAGAAAATAGGCTAAAGAATCGAATTCATAAAATGATGACAGAAATTTGCGGAGATTTCGTAACAATGAATGTTTTCAGTGCTATTGGTCAACCTAAGCCATATATTATTTGGATTCGTAATGGAGCATTTTTAACAGGTATGTCGCAATCATCCGTTGGTCATTCGATACTGCAAGTGAAAGTTGAAAGTAATGATGATTTGGGTGATTATATTTGTTTGGCACAGAATACTGTTGGTTCTGTTACCAGTATTGCTACCTTATTTCTTGATCAAATTACAGAAAAGGTAAGCAAAATTTCATCGAAACAATTAGCTTATAAAATTTTTTTTTTTAGGGAAATTTATTTCAGACATTTATTTGTATCGCATGATTGAATTAATTTACGGTGTGATTTTTAACGTAATCAGAAGTACTTGAATAATTTATTAATCAATTCTTCGGAAACGTTTCCGTTTCTTTTTTCTAAACTTGGCACATTTTAAAGTGTTAATTGAATAGTTAATTTAAATTCAAATCAGAATTTAAGGCTCAAAAACGCTCAATTGCAATGTTAAATTGTGTATTTGATAATGCGGTCCCAAAAAAAAATGTAATTTGGAAATTTTTCAACACACAATTAAGTGACAGTTCCACTGAAACAGTAAACCTTTTGCGTAATGGATCGCTTATTGTTTATGACGTCACCGAAAGTAATTTGGTAATTAATTTGAATCATTTCCATTAATGATGAATTTAAAAAACTAACTGATCGGATTTGTAAAAATATGATCAATGTTTTATAGCGTTTCAAATTTAACTAGAATGAAATGAAGTTGTTGAATTTTCTTCACAAAGTCTATTAAATTTTAAATCGATCTTATAGACGATGAAATGAATTGTTAGGGATAAAATATTCCAATAATCTATATTTAAATTTTAACGATCATGTTGACAATTTAATATTTCAAATTTTCAAATTATAAAAAAAATTTCAAATATTTTGATCAATATGGAGTTTAAAGAGATGAATTATTAAATATTCTTTTTAGACAGACTTATTTGGCTATCAGTGTTATACGACAAATGGAAAACAAACAACGGAAATAAATTTTTTGAAAGTAGAAGAAGACGTACCACGTGTTCAGGTGTCGCCAAAACAAGTCTTTGTCAATTTGAACGAATCATTGATTCTGAATTGTAAATTGCTGCCCAATCCGTTAACAGCGGTGGTTCAATGGACCAAAAATGATGTAAAATTGACAGATAGCAACAGAACAAGAATGCTTGTATCTTTTTTGAATACATTCATGAAATATTCAAATTAAATGAAAGGCGGCACACTGAAAGGTAACTTCTCTATAAAGAAAGTTACCTTTTAGTATAACGACTTTCATATAAGTGATATTATGATAAAATGTAGTAACTTACTTTCTTGCTAATATTATTGAGCAAAAAACTTTAGGTTAATAATTCCCTTCATATCACGAAATTGTTGCTTTCTGATCGTGCTATATTCAAATGTATTGCATCAAATCGATATGGAAAATCATACGATGACGTACAAGTGATTGTAAAAAGTAATTTATTTCGGTTAATATATTTTTTTGGATGATTATTCATTTATTTCAATTTTACTAACTTATTATTAATACGTTAGTAAATTCTAAAGTATTTTATTTTGAAATGCTTATCAATCACTATTACTTACTGCAAATTAGTTTATTGGAATTTGAAATTCTTCAAATTTACTTGTTCACAATTATGATCTCATTTTAAGTTTGTAATTTTTGAAATTTAATTCTTTAGCAGGTTTAGCCGGTGTGATTAACAAAGTTAAGGGGATCGTAAATGGTCGAAGACTGAAACGTGAGACGACACTTATTACTGTAAAACCTAAAATGGAAGCTAATGTTATTACAATGAACAGTATATTTAGGGAGCAAGGTTTGGTAATTTCATAGACAAAATATCCACTTGTTTATTTTATGATATAGTGAGCTAATATAACGGAATATTTCAATGTGTAGCAGTTTTTTCAGTGTTGCTAAATTATGAGTAATTTGAAAATTAAATTTCTTCTATGTAGCTTTTTAACGTCTAATCAATAAATTGGAAAATGTCGAGCGATTATATAATCCTTCTCTAAAGGCTGCATGGAAACAAAAAGTGTTCCAACTCATCAATGAAGTTAACAAAAAGTTTAGAAATGATCATCGTAATGTAACGGATTACTTGTGATATAATATTCATAAATTTTGCATTTAATTAAAAAAATATTAACAAAAGTTGTAACTTGGAAGTTAATTTAGGTGTAATAGAAGAAATAATGCTTGGCTACATGATGATGGCTTTTCCACAGTTAGCCTTCAATGCTAATCAGAAAAATTCACTTGCAAGTGTGGAATTTCATCGTGTGATTGATTATCGCTTTGAAAGTGGTGAAATAATGCGCGTTTATCAGAAAGGATTTGGCATGGATGGTGAATATGCGCAATTTGAAATAGCTTTCAATGGACGTGTACCACATTTTAACGATGACGTAAGTACGTTTAATTATCAAAATGGAAAAGTATTGAAATTTTTATAAGCTTCTGTTATCACATTCATTTTACAACATTAAAAGCTTACTTGCAAAATATGAATAGGAATTAAATTCCTAAAATGAGTTGGACGAGAATTAAAATATTACCATGCACTTGCACTTGCTAAACTTCTGGAAAAGAATTGTTTAAAAAATTGGAAGTATTCTTCTTATCACTAATTAGTAATAAAATATTTTAGCAGATCAACAAAAATCAAACAGTTAATGCTATTGCAGATAATTTTTTACTTCATTTGTTTTATTAAAAAAAATTCAGACTTATTCTTGGATTGATCAAGCTAAAGAGGAAATGGTAGAACAAGAGCCAGGTATGATACGTGGAAATGGATTAGCAATTCTGCGTGTTGGAAATCAAGCAAATATACCGTTTCAGTAAGTTAGATTTCTAAGCTAACGACATTACACGTATGATTACGTTGAGATTATTATCGATTTTCTCTACGAATTGAGGAAAGATAGTTTTATAGGGGAGCCTGAAGTTATATTTCAGCTATATTGAAATGTAAAAATCAGAAAAATGAAATGAGGAGGAGGAGAAGGTGGGGAAGTGATATGACTTCTATTTATTTTTGAGATTATAATATGTTTTCATAAATTTGAATCTTGCTTATTATTTTGCTAAGCTGGAATGAGAGCATTGTTTATGATGCATCGAGAGGAATGGATATCGGTCCAGGTAGATCTGTCACATTTAAATTTGCATTGCGGAAAGCAGTATGTGATGATGTCAAATTGAACATTATGGCTAAGACTGAATCAGTTCGACGTATTTGTCCGATTGGATATCACAGTAAGGATGGCACATGCATTGGTTAGTTTTCAAATTTTATCCTCATTTTTTAAATTTAATAGTATTATTTGAAGATTTACGAAATAGCTACTCCAAATGTGAGACATGTGTTTTTATTGTGTTGTAGTAATTTATCTCGTAGTTGAATAATTTTTTATTAATTCAGACATAAATGAATGTGAATCTTCTCGAGAAATATGTCACAAGCAAGCAAATTGCATCAATACCATTGGAGACTATTCGTGCATGCGCAATTGCCCATCAGGTTTTAAAGCAGGTCCACAAGGTGACTGTGAGGATATTGATGAATGCACCCTTGGTATTCACAATTGTACAGATGGTGTGCTATGTATGAATAGACCGGGTGTGTCATAAATTTCAACATTTTATTTATCCAATGTTTAATAATTCAAATTTAGCAATGAATGAATGAGAATAGAACAGACAGTTTACTAAATAGTTGCTCTTGGAGATGCAGATGAAAAAGTTGCAGGTACTTTCTTATGTGAAACATCATTATGTGCCGATGGATATGTTCGAGATTCTAATGGTCATTGCAAAGGTATTCTTTATGAATAATCAAAAAAAAATTTTTTTTTTTTTTTGAAGTAACCGCTAACTCTGACTGTACGAGGATTGATGGAATTAAATGAAACATAATTTGTAATAATAAAGTTTTATAAAACGCATAACACAAATATATTGTTGTGATTTATATTTCAAAATATTGTTAAGAATATTTTTTAATTCATAAAAATTTGACATAATTTTATTTGGTTTTTTAAAGACTGTAATGATGCAAATAGCAGATGAGCATCTTGATCCATATTTTGGAATTATGAATCACTATCAGGAGATGTAATTTCTTTATTGACCAAATAATTTATCCTCATGATAAAAATTAATTAATTAATTATAGATGGTATTTTTAGTGTTATTAATGAATACAATAATTTTTCAGATATAGATGAATGCGCAGAATCGTTATGCGGTAGTTTAGAATGTTTAAATCATTTAGGCTCATATAGTTGCATTTGTCCAACAGGCTTCCCAGCTGACAGTATTGGTCATTGTGAAGGTATACTACAGATTAATTTGCTTAACATATTATCTTACCTTTATGTCAAACTTTCTGATAATTGATATTTGTGTTTCAGAGTTGCAAACGAGTTTAACTGATTTAAAATTAATTAGATTTGATGAAAATTGGAACGTTTGTGAACCGGGTTACTATCGTATCAATGAAACATGTCAAGGTATTAACTTTTATTTAATAAAAAAAAAGCAGTTAAGGAGTGCATAGCGAAAGTTGATAATGATGTAAGTTCGATTCATATTTGATCGATTATGCAAAAGTCTTTGGTCAACGTGAAAAATATTTCTGATTATCAAATTCTTGCTTTTATTTTTTGCATTGATATTGTGACGTGAACATTTTCCAAATAGTTTATATTTTTAATTTTTGTCAATTTCAATTGTTTGCAAAGAATTAGCTAAAAAGTTCATCAGAAGCTGTTGCTTGCTTAGACAATATTTCAAATTTTGCAATTTTTGAGATATTAACGAATGCGTATTCAATTTTCCATGCAAGTATGAATGTGAAAATATTGAAGGCAGTTATAAATGCTTGTGTCCAAAAGGTTACAGAGTGGAGCAAAATAATTGTACCGGTAAATTTATTTACATAGTAATAATAATTATTATTACTTTAGTGTTATTTTTGGCTTACTCCAAATTAGTTATTTTTGCAGACTTTTGATCAATCATCACTGCAACTAGTTGAAATTTAGTTTAGATTTGTTTAAAAATTGTTTTAATTTTGTCTTCTCAACAAGTTTAATAATAATTTAGGTTTTTTTTGAAAGAAAAAAAAACTTTCTCGCCGCTCATACAAGTTCTCTTCTTAACAATTTTATAGAAGTTTCCGATTTCTGAATTAAAATTAGGTGAAAATAGTTTCTCTGTACTTTTCATATTTAAATATTATAAAATTACATCCGTCGTATTTTGCAGATATAAATGAATGCTTATATGATCCATGTTCCGAGAATGAATTATGTTTTAATCAGTTGGGAAGTTATGAATGCCTTGCGACACCATGTCCAACTGATTATCATTTGGAAGATCAGTAAGTACATTTTGTTTAGCATCTGATTTAAGAAAATTTTAAAACTGGTTGTTTCAATGGGAGATAATTTTTCCCTCCTTGCTTTTAAAAAAAATTCCTGAACTTAAAAAGTCTCAAACTGTATTTACTTTTTTAATCAAATTAAACTATTTTGCATGAGAAAAATGTTGCAAACCGGAATATCCCTTTAGGAAATGTATGCCGAATTGCAAGAACTGTTCTAATTCACCTATTATAATATATACGATATCAGTGCCGAAAAGCATACCACCTTTAACTCCGTTACTGCGTTTAACAGCTTATGATCATCGATCGAAAGTGCTTCATCGAACGCGGTTTATTATGAAATCAATTTCAAAATTCACCAAACATATCCCATTTATTTTTAAAGTAAGCTTAAATTATATTTGAGTAATAGATGAAGCCATAAGATAATTTTTTGAGTTTTATTAGTTTAATTAGTTAATTAATTGCTGTCTTGGTAGATGAGTTGGCTTATCATAGGAATTTTCCATCAATAACAGTACCAATAGTAATACTTTTTTGGCTTACTTTTATCATACTCTCAGATGAAAGTAAACTAAAAAGATATTGCTGCCTATCAGTTTAGAAAAAATTTGCGAACTTAACTGATATAGTAATCATATTTTATAACCAATCTCCTACAAAGGTCATTTTTCTCCATGGACAAGTGTATCAAAAACTTGACAATTTTCAGTTCAGCTAAAACATCATCATTAATTAAGTGCAGCGTTTTCTTTAATCCACAAATAGAAATTTGTAAATAAGGAAATTTGATATTCAACTTAAATGATTTTTTCAGACAAAAAATGGTCGAGCAACGTTGCAAAATGCAGAAGATCCGCTTGAAGCAGGAACATATAAACTTGCCATACGAAGCATCTCAAAGCTACCTTATAGAGCACGAAAATTGCTAAATGATTTCATTGTCTTTATTTCTGTCTCCGAATATGATTTTTAATTTAATAAGCTTCACTTGAAAAACACTTTTTTAAATTAATAAAAATTTCACTAAGCCTGACTAAAATGAAACTTCATTTTTGAATAAATTTATTCAAACTATTCCTGCTCACTTCTTTAAATAAACAAGTTCATTAGATTCAGTTATCAATTATCAATTCCCATCCAAATTTTTAAAATCTTACATTAAATTTTTTTCTATATCATTAGCTATTAGCCGTTTGGATTGCTTTTGATCAAAATTAGCATCTTTTTAAGTGAAGTTTCACTGCTCATTTTATTATTCTGTGATGTACGATGAAATTCTTTTATATTCACGTAATAAAGCGTCAATAAATGAAAATCGTTGTTAGAAAAAAAATGTAGCCAGAAATATATCAGCACTGCAAATCAAAATATAATTCCTACGATTTGAAATTAATTTTAATTAACATCATTTTTTTCTTTTTTCAGACTAATTTGTATAATCTATTTTGGAAGAAAAAATAAAAAAGCGCTGTATATTATTTTTAATAATCAACTACGCAGAAAATTGTCGTCTTTCCATTTGCTTTTAATTGTCATCTTTTTTTGAAATAAATTTGTGAATTAATTTATCAATAAAATTCTTAAATTATGCCTTATTGCAGATTTGCTTAGCGCGCAAAAATTTGCATAATTGAATAATCTGATTGATTTCTGTATGCGCAATCTGTTATGGATTGGAAATATAGCGAAACATATGTGAAAAGTCTTGCAATATATGAAGAAAAAATATTTCCACGTGTCATTCAATAAAGCGAAGCGGTGCTTGATCATTCTCTACTTTTAATAGCTCAGGAATGTCGGATGTTGTTGACAGATCTCTACGTGAATTTAAGTTTTATGAAATTCCCGTAGTAATATTAAATAGGTTATTGCAAATGGAAATTTAGTTTTTTTTTTTTTCTTTTAAATTATATTTTGAACGATATAATGTATCTGATCGTTCCTTTGCAATTCTTATCTTTTTTTAATTATTCGTTTTCGTCGTCGCAGAATGTTTTCATGCTAAAAAGAAAACCGATACTTTGTTAATAGGGCATGAAATTATATGTTAAGGAAGCATTGCTTGTACTGATTGAAAGTTTTCACTTATTTATACTTTTTAATTTTTCATATAAGGAATATACTTTTATAATTTAAATTAAAAGAAAGTAATTTTGAAAAAAAAAAATTTGTTATCTTATTAATAATGAATCATTTGTGATCATTATTCATTCATTATTTCATATTGATAATTGTAATTCTGAAATTATGACAGAGTATTTAAATAATAATAATAATAGTAAGTATTGTGAAAACTTACATATGTACCCTTCTTTCCGAAACATTTCTCTTTTGCAAGCTGCAAGTAAATTATTGGACGTCGATGTAATGGTACATAAAATCCGGGTGGTTTGTTTGTTAACGGTGGTAATTCCACTCCATCTGGAGGAGCCTAAAAAATAATTGATATTTTTGGGTAAAATTTATTGGATTTTTTGAGATAAGAGTGGTTTCATTTCGAAAAGTACAAGTGATTCAAAAAGAGAAAATTCTTATCCCAATGTATAAAGTGCGATCCAGAATTCTTCTCATATATATATAATCATAAAATAATATATTTAAGTAAAGTACACCTTAAAATTAAACTTAATAAAATTCTAACAAATTATTTACCATAACAATTTCATCAATTTGTCGCACAAGTGAACGCCAGACAAAAGCTGCCAAAATAAGACCCAAAATTGATGGTATCACAACGGCTATTGTATAGATTACAAAATGCAAGGCACTAAAATTTTGACATTTCATTAAAATCAAACATTTGTAAATGAAAAGATAGAAACTATCCGCAGAAGATTACTGTATTCATGAATTTTATGAATACAGTAATTTTCTGCGGATAATTTAAAACTACTTCACTGGTTCTCAAAATTTTTGCACAGTTAAAAAAAAGTTAGAGCTAATTTAATTACAATTTAAAATTTTTATTTCAATGTTGAAATATCATAATTTTTGGTTAATTTACATGATATGACGGCGTAAAAGTTTGCATGTTTTTGCTGCATTATAATAAAAAGCTCGATCACGTTGTACATTTGTTGCAAATGTTGCTGCTTGCAGCATAAATTCCGCAAACTGATTGTTTATTTTTGTTTGTATTCCATAAAAATGCGATTCACTATATCCACGATAATCATATGGAGTCTGGAAAGAAGAAAATTGATTTAAAAAAAAAAATACAATTCTGTCATTTATCTCACATATGCGATGATGCATTAATTAGAAGTGTAAAATTGTTTGAGCAGTATAAAATCAGATTACTATTGCGTTCTTGAAAATAAATTTTAATTGTAAAGGACTTGATCAATATCGATTACGGAAATATACATAAGTAGAAATACATTATATTTCTTACGCAAAGATTTTAATCCAAAACTTCAAAAAATTGAAAGAAAAATTCATCTTTCTTCAAAGAATAAAAAAAAAACAAACTTCATGAGTTAAATTTTAAAGATATAAATTGAATTAGCAAAGTCTGTTTTTCTTTTCTATTCAAATCAAAAAAATTGCTTCAATAAAAATTGTAATTAAATTAAAACATCGGGTCGCCAATTTTGTTACTAATTCGATTTCAAGTTTGATCAAGTTGAAGATTTAATCTCCTACTTTCAAATTATTAACAAATCATTTACCAATAATTGACCAACGTGTAAAACGTAAAAAATCATGTTTTTAAACCCTTATAGGAAATTAATGAGAATCCATCTTCACATCATTATCTTCAGCTGATTAATTCTTCATACAACCTAGTCAGTTATTGTTTGAACTTACTCGTTTAAAACGACGTGGGTTCTCCCTTTTCACTTGCAGTATGTCATCTTCAAGTATGCTAAAGTTTGGTATTAATGTATCGTAACAGGCCACTTTGCTTATCATTAGTATTAATAATAAATGTATAGATGTTGCCGTCATCATTCTGAAGGCTATCACCATAAGAATGTTTTAAAATATTAAACCAATTAAAGAAAAGTCCTAATAAGAACTTTCACCGAAATTTCTTCTCCATTTAAGACCAGAAATATAGTGCTAAGAAGAACATTACACATAAAAACAACTTGTGTTAGATTTTTTTCGAATTCAAACTTGAATATCCCATTTAATTTCAATTTTTAACATTTACAGTCCGACCTGTTCCACGACGATGAGAAGCACCTCTTCTAAAGCTAATATTAAAATACAATGCAATGAAATGATAAATATAAATGTATTTATTCTCATTATAAAATCAACAGCAAGAAATTACTGAAAATAAAAAATGTACTGTGAGAAAACTGAACTTTTTAAGCAACAATCTACCAGACTTCAATAATTTATAATATAAAAGTGCTATTATGTGGTTAACAAGAAATTTTTTAAAAGGTCACCACAATACGATTTTGTTTCAGTTAAAAAAACCTAACTGTACTGAAATCTTTTCCACAGAACTAGGAAATCATAACCACTGAGAATCTAATGAATTCAAAGATTAAAAGAACTTAATAACTGCTTAGAGATATTTATTCACATTCCACTATCAACTGCAGCATACCGGATGAGAGCAGCAAACTTTTAAATATTTCCAAGGGAATGATTCAACAAAGAAACCTTGATTTCTCAAACAAAATTGAAGTTATGCACGACGTATACTCAGATATAAAAATCAACCAAATAACTATTACAATATTCTTCCTTTTTTTCGAGCTTTTTGTAACTTTCTTTTTTTGACGATGTCTTTACGAGCCTGGATATTTGCAGACCGTTTTTCTTGCTTCCGAGCTTGCATTTGCAAAGTATGCTCGACACGATTTGCCCATTTCTTTTTTCTCCACTCTTTTATCTTTTCTTTCTTTTTTAAACTTTTTCTCAAAAGATCTGGATTATCCTGCAAAAATGTATATATACATGTTCAGACAAATTTCACAACAAAATTTTAATGCATTTCAATAAAAGTGAATTTCTACCAGGACTCTACCTTAACTTTTTGTCCTTCAGCACGACTTAGAGCCTTTTTCCATTGGATGTTTTTTTCAATTCTGAAAGCCTTTTCAGGATTCTTCGACCATACTTGTTCCAATCTTTCTTCCCTTTTCTCAGCCTTTTCAAGCAATCGCTTATAGTCTTTACCAGTGAACTTATCTCGTTTGTCCTTTTTTGTTTTTTTCTGAAACTGCTATCGCTTTGATATGCACAAAAATACTAGAGAGAATTGACTGTAGACAAGTTATAGCTACCTGCTTTTCATCCCTTACAATGAAATCAAATTTTGAGAAAATTAATTTGTCATCTTTTTCTTCCATTTTTCCTGGCTCCGACTGTCTTTCCAACTTCGAACGCTTTTTCGGTACTACCTCATCTGATGGTAGCCTGAAATTTCTTGCAAATAAATAAATAAATGAAACAGTAATACTTGAAATTTTTTCAAACTACAGAAAAAAACGTCAGAGAACAGAAGGACTGCTGAACTCTAGAGGCAATAGAATGAAGGATAAAAATATGATAATTAGGTTCCAATAAATTTGAAAGGTTCGCCAGATTTAACGTTCCTGAAAAAATCTGTATAAAATATACCTTGAATTTTTTATCTGCTGTTTAGCATTTTTCCTTCTTTCTTTCATCTTTAGTTTACTCATGCGCCGTTTCAATTTCCGTTTTTCTTCATACTCATATGCTGTCATCTTACCACGTCTTTTTGCTAAAAAATGAATACATCAGCCACAGAAGAAACGAGATATAATTTCCGCTATAGTAGTATATGACTTAGAGAAAAAAAATTTGTTGGTAAAAATATTTCTCTTAAAGAGAAGTCCATTGAGAACTGTTGACTAAAACATGAAAATTTACCTTTAAACTGCTCCAATTTTTCCTGCAGTTTCTTAAGAGCTAATTTGCGGCCCTCCAAGGCATCAGCTGGTGCTACTGTGGAAGTACCCGCCAAAGGTGCGCTACTTTCTATATCACTCGTGCTATTATCTCGGATCCTTGGCAATTTTTTCCCATTATTACTAGCACATGCCGTCCCGTTTACGAAACTAAAAACAGCTAGGAGCTTGTCGATTTCTCTCAAAAAGAAATTTGAAGCTTATTCCATATGTGCAAAGTTGTGAATAAAATCGCAAAAAATGCTTTAAAATGCGCAAATATTTGCTTTTTGATAGTTATAGAGCATAAAAATGTTAAAAAATGATCAACATATATCCCTATAGCATTCAATAAGAATCATAGAAAATAATAATAAAACACATTCTTTTCTAATTCTTAAAAAATTACCTTTCATTTTTTAATACTTCAGCAAAAGATCTGGTAGGATTGTCAGCGTCCGAAGCTTCAAAATCTATCGACTTACTTGTCTTTGGCTTCATGTTTTTGGTGTTTTTCAGTTCCCTCATTGCTTTGGAAACGATTACGGGCTAAAAAGTTCCTCGAAAAACTAAGGATTCTGAAGTTTTTTAAAATGCATTTAAAGCAAGTAATGTAAGACACCCTTACCTTCAAAGGTTTTGTATTGTTACAATTTTTTGCCATCCAGTCCAGAACATCAGTGATTTTCTGACAATTTACACCTATTCCGCGCGCCAGTCGCTGTTTCGAAGCTTTACTAAGCTTCCGTTTTTGTTCTGAAAATATACTTCCCCGTAATAAAAACAATCTTTTTCCTCATTTATATATCGTTAACTTGTCTAACAAACTTCGTGAAGTGCGAAAACATTTAGATGAGCCAATATAGTAAACCAGTGCAAATAGAATGACAAAGCCAACCGCCTGTTAAATGTTCATCAACAATTCTGTGTTTCTGTTCACGAAGCTTTTCAAGTGTTTCATCATCAAACTGCCAGTTTGTGATCGGTATCAAATCGATATTTCTTTTGATGATTTTATCTATTTCTATACATTTCCCCAACAACTTTTCTCTATCTTCTTTCGAAAGCATTGTTGCTAAAAGAAATAAATTCCTTATTTAAGTTATTTCATCGCAAGGTTAAAAAAGTTGTTAAACTGATAATTCAAATGTTTTTCGAAACATGCAAGGAATTGCAGGATGTACGGGTTGATCTAAAATCAAACAAAACATAATAAACCGAATTTGTATCATCAAATATTTGTTGGTAATAACTGACTATAAGACATATGAACAAACCGGTCAAACATAATTTAATGAAAAAATCACAAAAATATATAAGAAACTATATATCTAACTGGAGCATTAATACAGAGTTTAGAAGTGGATGAGATCAAGCCATATGCTAAATGTATTAATCGGTAAGTTGATTTACGCTGACATCTATAAGAAAGATCATTAATGTAAATTTGAAATAAAACGAAAGCACAGGATTACAAAAATAAGTTACAACTAAAATCAAATAAAAAATATCATGATGGAGGAAGTAATTCAGTGCTTAATCTAGTTTGAATCATTTCAAGACGTGTTTCGAGAATTAGCCGTATATCCTCAGCTAGATCTTTGAGCGACGTGTATCTCACTTTCTTCACGTTAAATATATCAACAATGAATGAGCACATCTGTTCCTGAAAAAAAACGCTTTTTTAAAGAACATTGAATAAAAGCCAATTACTAGTAGTCCGAGTGAAATTTCATCCTAGTAAATGATAAAAAAAATTGAGAGTAAGAAAAGATCTTGAATTTCCATAATAAATTATCGCTAACTAGAAGATAACAAATGAGCCCGAGTTTGCCTTTTATCAAGATCTGAAGACTTCTTGATCAAACAGGATAATTGCACTCTAATTCTCTTTTCACAAACGAAGTCAAATGATGGCAAATATGTTTTTTTTTTTTTCAAAATTTCATTCGCAACTACAGAAAACTAAATAAAACAAACTTTGAAATAGTGACATAAATCGCGTAAGTGTTCATCGGTTCCCAAAAAACCTAAAGTAATGGATGGTGAAGCTGCTTCTGAGATATCGTAGAAATGTGATACAAATCCATTAGCTATCTAAAACACTTTTTTATGTGTAGAATGTGCAACAATGTTTTTCAATAAAAAGAGAGCGCAAACTGCATTAAGTGACCTTTAAAATCCTAAAAGTGGAAAAATACCGCAAGTCTAGCGCGTTTAGCTTTCAGAATAGACCAAATCACTGTTACTAATGTCGATTCCTTCATTGCTTGATTTAAAAACATGTTTTTTGTAACAGCCAGAACAGCAGATGGAGGTCGCGAAAGATCTTCGAATGCGTCAATCAAAATATAATCTAGAACGACGTCCCAAAATCCCAATTCTGGTACCTGAAACAAGACAGCTCCCGACATAGATTAAAAAGAAGCAATAAACAGTTTCAATAGCTTAAAAATAAGGTTATCATATTGTTTTCTGTGAGCCACAAATATAAGTAGTACTAGCTGAACGAATAATAACTGACATAAGTCTTCAAGTACAATGAAAAGAACAACTTACTCCTCTTTGTTTTAATTCTCTATCAACAATTTCTAGATGCTGAGTTTCATTCAAATATTCAACCATAGCATCATAAGCTAAGTAAAACGGACTAGGATCTTTGCTGGCGTGTCGCAATAAATCTGCAATCAGTTGACGCCCGGCCTGAGATAGCCATACACGATTATGTTCATCTAATAAAATTTCCTGCAACAAGCATATGGACCGTTTCGTAAAACAGCCCTGCAGAAAAAAATGTGTTTCTTTGATTATATCGTGCTTTAATCTCACATATAGTTTACACAAGATATCGCAATAAAACTCCAACTATCACTCAAGGATGAAATAAATAACAACTCATTATACCACAGGCAGAGGTACATGAGCAACTGCATTAGTTTTGCAGAAATTTACAAGTACTTACAGCGAATGCTTGCCGTATGCACCAGACTTTAGCTTTGAAATCATCATCATCCTCACAGCAACAAAATTCTGTTCTAAAACCAAATTAAAATGTTACCATGAACGGTATTTTGCACTGCGACATTAACTGCATATGTACAATTTGCAAAAAATTATAAATAAACTGTGTAATACTAAAACTGAAAAGAATAAGTATAGAAATCTTACACACCTTATTTTCCTACAGTTCACTTCACCTGCCTTCGCAGCTGCTACACCCTTTTGATAGAAATGCAGTGCGTCCCTATCCAAATTCAATGGTTCACGCATTAGAACATCAGCGTCATCTATACTTACAGGCTGAAAAGAATAAACCATTCGGTGCAGTCTTAAGAATGGAAAAAAAAACTTCAAGCAAAAGTCTGTCTTTATTAACAAGTTCCATAAATCTTACAAGTTCTTCATAGGCTGACCAGAAGGAATCGTCAGAGAGAACTGATAAAGTGCCTGCCCGTTGTGATCCGCCTGCTGACCAAACTGAATTTAATTAATTTATTTCAAATAAATTTGCCGAGTTTCAAGCTATAAGCAAAATTTAATTCTTCATTTAATTAGACATACTCGTCAAATATAACATTTGCGACTGCAGACTTACTAACTGATCAAACTTACAACTGAATATTCGAATAGAAAAAAAAATCAAAATTTCAAGAATGTAAATTCAGCAGAAGCATCCACAACTTACATGTTTCATCGCTAGAGAGAATTTCTTTTTCATAACCACCTTCCTGCACTACTCTTGTAATGTCTGTTTCCAAAATTCGTAACCTGGAACAGAAAGTATACCATTAATGAAAAATGCTGATAAAAACTTTTGATTCTGGAAAGCAAGATCAGACAGGAATTATCTTTTCATTTTTTTTTTAAATTATAATGAAACTGTTAGGGTAAGGTAAGTGCATATAGAAGATATGAATACTTTGATGTGAGGTTCTATCCGTAGAAATTCGCTACTTTCATGATCAACAAAACAGTTTATAAGAAAAATTCTCACATTAGAAAAAAAACCTTGCTCAGTTCCATTGGTACAACTTAATCAGCAACTGACATTTCGAGTGATTTATAATTATTTTATAGAAAAGAAAACCTGTCTAATACAGAAGAAAGTAACTCCGATCGTTTGCAATCTTTTTCTGAACGATTTTTTACCATATCTAATGAAGCAGTTGCTCGTTCTATTCGCTGTAATATTTCCTGTACCGATTGTAAACCTAAAATTTTGTTTATAACAAGACGAGTCACCTGTTCTAGCAAGAAGAGGCTATAAAGGGAAATGCAAAAAAAAAGGTGAAACTTACCAGAAATTAGGTCTGATTCAGCGACTGGTATATTGTTTGATTTGGATAAATTTCGCTGTGATGACCCAAATGATGGTCCACCTCTAGTCCTACCAATTCGTACTACAACTTATTTAGTTATTAAAAATTTTTAAAATGCCAATATGAATTTTTAATTCATATCGTTTGCAACAAATCAGACATAGTCTATAATTTAGATTGGCAACACTTTCGGATATTACTGTCGGAAAAACGCATAGTTTAAAAAGCATACAATTAGTGAAATCCGCACTTTGAGGAACAACAAGACCATTTGGAAGGTTTTCGGTAGCATCGTTATATTCTTCGGATTCTCTTCTGCGAACGCTTCCCCAAAACCTCAAATCATCTTCATTTCAAATATAAGAATTCGAGAGATGTGATAAGAACGTTGCTGTCGTTCTTATGTTCGAAAACTAACTTTCCACAAAACATACGTAGGTATTTATGTAAGTCTGATTTGTTAATGTAAGTTTTCGAACAATGTAACCCAATTTTTACCATAATAATTTTTACTTCTTCATTGAAATAAAGCTAATAATTCCATCTGACACAAACAGTTACCTTTTTATACTGAAATAACCAATTACTGCAACACCAATGCCTATTCCAAGACCAACAATTACTGTTGTCCGGCGAATTGTGATATAACCACTGGGTATTCGTAGCTGGGAGAAGTGCATATTCCGAGCTTTAAATGAGTTGAGTTGAAAAGCCAAAAAAGACTTCGTCGACTCTCATTTCAAATTTATGACACAATTGTAAAACCATTATTTTTGAGAGATGAATAAGAATACCAAGTATTGTCAACACAAGATTGAAAAAAGACAATTATTAACAAAAAATTACATAATATGTGTAATCCGTTAATTTGGATGCGTTAAGAACATCTTCTTTTGTTTTCTACACCTTGCATAATTAAACCCATGCTCAAGTTTCCACTGTCATCAAAACTTCATTGTACACCAAAAAAAAAAATTCTAAAAAAAAATTTAAAAAAAATTCTAAATCCAGGCCATTTATAAAAGTGGAAAGTGAACTTCACTAAATACCATGTTTCATAATTATGAATGATGATGTAACTTGAAATGTTACACAGTTTGAGAGAATGAAACTAATAACTTCTACTTTACGCCGTCGCTTTACACAACAGTGAAATCAGCAAGTAAATCACTTAGCATTTTCTTTTCCAGTAACCAATAAGTCATATCTAAATTGTTCCTTCTTTCCCAATCGTTATTTCACAGAAATGAATCGAATCATTAATGTCATTTCACAGAAATGAATCGAATCATTTCTTGTATTTCACTTAAGTTTGTTTCAGTCGCCTATACAAGATTTGCCTTCCATTTCTAATCTTTTCTATCTTTTTCCATGTAGTGATCACAAAATCACTACTTGCACACTTTCTATCATTCTCCCTCTTCTCCTTCGTACAGTTCCCACACTACTACAAAATTAGCACTCCAGAACCGAAACCGGAAACCTCAAATCACCAATATCAAACAAAACCTACGACACAAGTTTTAACAAATGCCGTGAGTCTCCAAATGAAAATGTTATCCTAATAAGGATCAGATTACTTTAATTACTTTTACTCGGTAAGACAGGTGATAATAAGTTTTTATGAATTATTCCTGGTTTTATTTAGAAGGAATATTATGATAAATAATAAAATGTGCTCGTGGATTTTTTGCTTTCTCTATCAAATTATATCGTATCCTTCTTTAATAGCACAAAATGATAGTACACTTTAATACTATTCTCTGCTTTCTTTCTGCGAAAACTTTGTTGAATTCTAATTGAAATCCAGGATTTTGTTTTTTTTTTTTTTGCTGTCTCTTTTCCTCATAAATAAAATTATTTTATTACAATTCTGTACGAATATGACAAGTATGTAAAGCGTGATGAAATGGACAAATATAAAGGTGAAAGATAGAAATGAAGCGGACAGTGAACGATTTCTTTTGTCTCTTCCCTTTCTCTGTATTTCTCGAAAAATTAGGAGTGATTTCTGTGGAAAAGCTTGCTCAAATTTAATAAATAATGTATATGAATTAGTACTGGGATTTGAAATTAAATTCGATCATTCTTGTTCACACATTCTGGTATATTTTTCGGATCATTACAAGTTTTGCTTATTGGATCTATAATTTGTCCTGAAACATATTTCCTTATTCACATCAGAATTCAATCTATTAATTGAAGTTGAGAAAAGATCTTTCATTCAAGCACAATTGAAATGAATGAAACGATTTACTGGTTGTTATGATAAGTTCTTTTTTCGAAAGCCCGTTTTAGACATTCACACTCTAAATAATCTAAAAATCCTCGTAATCGCATGAATAAAATTTAAATCATTTAGATTTATACCTTCTGGACAGTTATAAGCGAATGTAATTTGTCTACTGCATACTGTATATTCATTTTCGCAATCGTTGAAATAAACGCCATCGTTCAACTTTTTGCAAAAGGCTACAAATTAGAGTTAAAGACATTTTGGATAATCTTTTTGATATATCGTAAATACTGATTTAATTTTACAGGGAATTCTTACCTTGATCGCGAATTGCTTCAGCACCGTCTACTCGTTTAGTTTCTTCATTTGGAGAAATTTCTCGCTCCATTTCAGGACTTGTTGTCAGAAATGATTCTTTCCTAGAAATAACAGAAAATATGTGTAAAAATTTATGAGGCAAGAAATATATTCAGATATAATCTATATTGCGTCATTTGTGAAAAAATTGCTAACTGGGAATTTTTCTTCTACGATTTGCTGACACCAGTTTTTAGTAAATTTCTCGAAAATTCATCAGCTTAACGAAAATAGTTTTTTCTTAAATGCTACAAAATCTGGTAGATAGCTGGGAATTTTAGTCTGAACTATATCTTTAAGTAGCAAAAAAGTAAGCCGGTACATGAGAGAAATTTTTTCAGGAAAGTTATGTGAGGAAAGTTTTCATTATATATCAACCATTATTAACATACACCTTGTTAAAGTGATGTGATCAATTCCAGCAGACACCTAAGTAAACTAAGAAATTGGATATGTCTTATAACTTACTCATTAATGTCTGCAATCTCCGAACAGTATTCGATGTTTCCCGCATAATCACAGATTTGTGCTTCTTCATTGAATGTTAAATTTTGTGGGCATTCGAAAAAGAACATCCGATGATTAGCGCAAGCCACAAATTCCGTTTTACAGCCTATTGAATAAAAGCCGTCTGCTTTCGAACGACAGTCGAAATCTGTATGTTTGAAAATTTTGACGAAAATTTCACAGTTACATCAATACGCATAGAAATTTTAGGGCTCGAAAACTACAAGATATAGTTAAAAGCTAACTATGAAATTTCATTAAAGTTGCAATTAAATGCTTTAATTAATATCTTCAAAAGTGGAGATTGTACAAATTTCAAATTAGGAAATTATGAAAATTACCTTCAGACAGAATTGGAAGAGGTTTTGCCTTAGATATTGGCACACTAACCAGTGCAGGTAAACTCGCTTTCGGTATTTGATCGGCGTGACTATGTACCACTTTCTTCGTCTGAATATCATAGATCTGAAAATAGTACTTTAATTTTTAATTAATGGGTTTCCCAACCACTAAAAGTATAGGAAATTTAAGATGAAGTTTAAGGAGTATACTTTTACCTCTCTGCTCTCATCACCTTGATCTATTGATTCTGCGGTCGTGGCATAAGTATAATCTTGTTCATTAACCATAATTCTGAAATGAAGAACTTCTTACTAAGAAACTGTATATTACCTTCATTTGAAAAATTGACAATATTAAATTCTTGAACAATCTAATATTTTTCATTCCTGTAAAGTTGGTCATAAATTTAGCTAAACTAAATAAAAGTTTATTTAACGCATGTTCCTTTTTCCCCATCTTCTACTTAATAGGAATAACCTTTTGGTTTTAAGTTTACCATTAAATTTGCAATTATAAATAACTTTGACTAGTTTTTATAAAACGGAAAATTTTTTAATAACGAATCAAGTTCAATTTACACTCACCTTGAATCTTCTAAAGCTGAATTACATAAAGAAACATGTTCCTTACAATTACAAACTCGCGCTTCGCTATCGAAGTACAATCCCTCTGGACATTTCATGCGATATGCATTGCCCGAGGCACAAGAATAGAAATAATTTTCACAGCCTGCTGAGAACAATCCATCACCAGTTGTATTACAGAAGCCATCTTAATATTAGAAGCATATAGAATGAACAAGATGTTGAAATAAATTTAAATTCTAAAATTGAATTTTTATATTACAAGAGTTTCTCTTTCAAATTTCGACAAATACATGTGATTAAACATTCATGAACTGAAAATGTAACAGATCGAGAAGAAATCTGTAAATGATAATCTCCATAGCAAAAATTAATAAACTAAAAAATTTACTTAATTCTGGCGCCGAAACTATATTTGATATTTGAAGAGAGTTGCCTATAAATGATGAGGAAGAATTTTCCGCAGTTGTGCATTCCGGCATCAGATCTACGATATCACACCGTTTTTGCCTTACATTATATGCTTGGCCATCTGGACATCTGAAATCCGGAAATGTACTTCAAACTTTTTTTGCTCTCCACTCGTTAAACAAGTGGTCGTCAATGATCTTCTCAGTGTGCAATTATATATTGCTTTATTTCTAATTTTTTTTTCGACGAATTTCCCTCAAAAAGTTCACTTTCAAAGCAATAATTAACAATGAATGATTTATCGGTGCAATCGGTAGGAATAAGTTTTGCATATATCTGAGAAAATGTTGATTAATAATGATTCAGCGTACGATCAATGCTCAAATAGAAATCTTGATATTCTGGATATGATTCAGCAAGATTAAATCCTTGTTGTATCATTTCCAAAATGACACGATTACATGATCATCTAATATTTCTTGTTTTTTAACAACTAATTATACGCATACGGTGATATGCAAATAGAAAAAGTAAAGTGATGAAACTTTTTTAATCCATCTATTGATAATAGTAGCGGTTATCTCTAATATTTATGTTATATGCAAATAATCATAAATATCATCCCCTAACGTATAATATAAAATAGTGTGCTGCTGAAATTTCTTTAAACGATTAATTAAATTTTAAAATTAAAAAAATGACAGGATTTTTACAAGGTTCGTCGAGCAGATCGCTTTTTATCATTACTACCATGACTGTTGGCATTCTTTTCTTTACCGAGTGACAATCTATGTGTATCACCATTTGTATCAAAAGTGGACAACAAATTTCGTTCAATATATTTTCCTGTAAAAACAAACAAAAACAAAAATGAATTTAAAAAAAAAATGGACACAAGAAAAATCTCAAAATGCCACCAATTTTTCAATTTCAGTTTTAGTTATAATTGAAATGCATTTTAATTGTGAATAAAGCTTTAAATTTGAATGAGATAATAGCACATTTTAAATCTACCACAACCTCTTTCACCCAAATGACTCTCCCGACGTTCATTGAATCCTTGCAGCGCAGTCAGTACATTACACTCATCAATGCTATCAACTTCATCACATCCTTTCAACTTATCATTGTAATATAAACCGGCTGGACATAGCATTTCCGAGGAATGACCCCGAAAACAGTGATAGTAAGTTGTCGAGCATTTCCCACTACCGTAAACACCATCCTTCCTCTTTGAACAATCAAATGAATCACTATAAATATAACTGTTCTATGAAAGTTTTGAATTAAATGTAAATATCGCATAAAATTACCGATGAAAAATTAAATCAACATTTAAGCTTCAATTATTTAACGAACTAAAATTGGAGTTTAATTTGAAAAGCATTAAAAAAGTGCAGAGAAGAAACAAAACTTACTCTGCCTTCACAATTATCTGATCATTATCCATGCTAAAAAAATCATGAATCAAGAATGAAATTTGAAGTTTGATATAAGAAAACTCGATTAACTATCCGGTTAAAGTAAGAAAAGTTGAAATTAACATTTTTGAAATGCTCACTTATTGATACAAGCGATAACTTGTCTTCGCTCCTCACATTTAGCCGTTTCAACATTAAATTTTAGATTGCTGCGACATCTGTAGATATATAATTTGCCGTCATAACATCTCAGGAATTTTGATGAGCAGCCACGTCCGTAAAGTCCGTCAGAATTACGTCTGCTACAGTCTAAGATAGCTGATCCTGGAAGTAATTCAGCCACTGACGAAATTGCAAATTTTTAAAATTTTTGTTTTCAAATGAAAAGATTAAATACATTTATTACTAAAATCACTCAATTCTTCTATCATAAACAAATAATTGGATCTTGTTAATGGTACAAGATGAGAAAAAACCTAGAATAGAAGTCCACAAAAGTGTCCTACAACATTTAATTATTAATATAAAAAGCAATTTTCTTTGGTACTACTAATTATAAGGGAAATTAATTCAATGCGTTTTTTTATTAAAAAATTTACTTTAAATCATTTTTTGCCCATTCGCAGTGTTTAAACTCGTAAAAATTATTGATTCAAATTATTTCAGCAATTTAATTATGTGCATCGAATGACTTACTTCTGGAAGCATTCTCGATAAGATTTATTTGAAGGGAAATGATCAAGAAACCAAGCAATATCATCCTATAATAACCAATAAAAATTCTTAGAAAGTGAAAATACCAATAACATAAAAGCAATGAATGGAAAACAAATAAGATTATCGTTCTCAAGAAATCCCATCATTAAATTTTAATCTCCGAAAACAATCTTAGAAATTTAATGCATACCTTCTTCAAGATTTTTCTTACGTTTCATATATATATATATTCATATACATATTCATATACATATTTATATACATTTCATATACATTTCATATACATTTCATATACATTTCATATATATATACATATATTTCCATTAAGGATTCTCATGACGCGCATAAAAATTATTATCGCATTCATATTTTTGTTTGCTTATACGAAATTTTTCCCGTTATAAATTCATAATAGTTCGTTCGAAATGGACAGTTGAGAAGTGCTGATGTAACAAAAAATTCCACTCAAATTGAAATTTGAAAAAAATATGTTCTACCATTTGAATTGTTTTTAAAAAAACAATTCAATTTGTAGATTGTATTTTAATATAGAAAATTCTGGCTGATATTTGTAATTTAAAATTATAATGCATAATGACGACATCAAGTATTTCTATAATTAATGGATTGTGATTCTTTCATTTTAAGCAATTTCGAACACGGATTAATTAGATCACCTGTAAACTTCAATGCACAATTTATAAATAGACAAAATTAGGAAAAGTACTGACAGTTTTCGTTGTTTCAAATAATCAAATCCATCAAAATTCGAAATTATAATTGTGATGCAGCAGTACTTGATTAACTATTTTGCTAAACTTTCCAATATTGGAAGCGATTCATCGCATTTTTTATACCATTATTTCATCTATTTTTCATTTCAAATGAATTTAATTTTGTATATGATTTTTTTCATCGTCAAAAATTGCTGGAATCGTTCATCAACGATCAGGAGATTAACTTAAAACAACGATTTAAACAATCAAAATTTTCAACATACTTATATTCAGTATGAAGTTATTCATGAATTATAGAAAAAACATTTTCGTTTCATTAGTCTTAGATATCTATTAACTCGATAGTGTCAAGTAACGTACCGCATTTAATTTGGAAGTGTCGAGCAATTTTCCAATATAAAATATTTTTGAATTTAAAAGTATTAGGTAGATAAAAGTCAATGGAGCATTTCATAATCTCTGAAATAGCTAAAATAGCCCAGTTTTAAATCAGTTTTTTAATCCTAATCCTATGTTTGCTATACATGCTAACATTTGTCACACATGTTTGACAATTTTTTCATTTACGAAGAAAAAATTCCAGTATTTTAAGAATACAATCATGGTCCATTTTTTTTTTTGTACAACCGATTCATTCCATATTTCATCAAATCGTGCAGAAGTCACGATTTGATGAAATATGGAATGAATCGGTTGTAACTTTTTCCTGCAATAACACTATTCAGAATAAAAAATCGATAAAAAGTATTCTGGAAAATGATACTGATAGTTAAATAATGCAAAATGAATTAAAGGTAAAAAACAGAATGTCTAAATATTGATATAACGTAAGAGAAATAATATTGATGATGAACCTTTCACTATGATTATTGGAACGTGAAATGGAATACACGTTGATGATAAGTTCAACTAATTCTAAAGATTCGTGAAATTTTGGCTTGTTATAAAGAGTTAATTAATTAGCTTATATCGACGTATTACAAAAGTTCAATTAACGTGTAGTAATGATTAAAATAATTATCAACATACTGCAAAATCTCAATTAGGAGAAAATCTCACAGATTTCAATTCTCAGTTGGTCTTGAGGCGCGGACTTGCATCGTGGTACACTGAGACAGTGGCACAACGGGATACTTTCCTGAGGTGGCACTTCTTGTTAAGTTAGGGTCAGGTTTGTCTGATCTCGTAACTTCACGTGTATCATCTCCGGTCTGTTTCTTTGATATGTATGTTACTTAAACGTGACTTAAACCTAACCATTAACATTTTTTAAATCTATTTCAATTTCAAGAAAAATGAAAAATGTAATGTAAAAGCGTTTTCATTTACTGAGTTCATTTGATAAGATGATGTTAAAACGATGTAAGGTAATGCGAAAGAGTGTTAAATTATAACTTAGTATATTTATTTCGTTTCTAATTTAAATTCAATTCTTGTCCCTATTCTTCTATTCTGTTGTTATGTTCTCTCAACAAAATGAATGAACTGAATTTGAAGTTGAAATGATAATCATGTTTTGAACTGCAAATTTTGTATCATTTATTCATACACATCATTCAAACATATATTTTAGCTTGTATTGTAATGTCAAATTTGAGTGAGTTTATTAATTTTCTTTTGGTCTCAGAACGTAAATTGTGTGTTGCCTGAGTGGCGCGAAACTTTTTGAAATGAAATAAGTGAATGGAATAAGAGAATGTGCGTGCAGTTTCGATTACTTCACTTATTTTAACCGAGGATTTGTGTTTTTGTCCTCAAAGATCCAAAATGCTTGATTGCGTAGTTTTAGTGAAGAACTTATTTTAATGAATTTTCTCTTTTTATGACACTGGAAAAGGTGGGAATTCTTTTCCTCTGCCAAATCCCTTATATTGGAAAAAGTCAAAAATCAGTTTTTGATTAAAGTAAAAGATCTAGTTTTGTGGATTAGTAAATTTTTGTGTTCTGCAAATAATCCTTTATCAGTGCTTCTCTGCAAGATTTATTTCCTTGATTCAATAGTTCTTCTAGTGAGCATAATGTATAGGTCGTATTTATAAACTAAAATGTGTAAAGAATTGAGAAAATAGGTGAACTGATTAGTTGTTTACATAATTACTCGAAAATCCTATCGGATATGTACATCACCACATCCGTGAAAAATTTTTTGTCATAAATTGACGATCATTTTTATTACTTGAAACAAAACGTCATTTAAGAGAGACATAACTCATGATCAGGTTAAAAAGCTGGCTTTTTATCACCTTGCCGCTTTTATGATTCAGTTCCTATTTGCAGAATTCGGCGATTTATTATTCATAATCTCTAGGCGTTTTAGGCTACGCCGTTTATTGTCATTTGTTTTCAGTATTTTTTATCATACTCTCGTTTTGCAATCTTCTGATAAACCATATCCAAACTAAAATCGACAGAATTCTCCTTAACTTCCTTAGTGCATATTTTTTCTAATAGGATATATATATATAAACCTGATTAAATTTACAATTAATAAAGGAGTACAAGGATAAATTTTTGATAAAGCAATGCAACTTTATATGATTGAAAATTATTTAGGAATTTTAAAGCTAATGGAAGAAGAAAATTCACTGCCAATGGGTGCTCGTGAAAGTTCGGTAGTAGAAGAATTGCAGCAACCTTCGTCATCATCGGAATGGTGCACCGATTCGGAAATACGTCTTTTCAAAAAACTTTTATCTCATAAACCAGCAGGTAAGCTCTTTAAATATGTTAATAGTAGTAATTCTTGGGTAGATGTAAAGCTTCCTGACGTTGCCAGAAAAACGGCATGTTTAATCCGTTTCTCTAATTCGTAGTATGTTAATGCAAACAAGATCTGGAAACGCATACGACAATGAAATTTCGAAACTCCTGAGTAATTCATATGTAAAATTTCCAGGTATTTCAAAACATTTTCATATGAGTTGTCTTGTTGATTATATGAATAACGTTTATGAAGACGAAGATACCGATTTCGAGGATGTTTTGACATCAGGGGATCTACATGAGCTCACTAGCAAGAGGAATACTACAGGAAAACCACGGATTTTTAGACCAAGATACAAAATAAGACCTACTGCAGAACTGGTCAGTCTACTGTTGTATTAGATTCTGTTTGCTTTATAGTGATATTAATGACGACTCATGTACGGTCGAGTTGATAATAATTCAATGTAATTTAAATGATGCAGCTATGTTTGCAAAAGTAACTCTTATTATTTTATCTTGTAATTAGTCAGCTATTGCAAAACTACAATATTTAAAACAAAATTGTAAAGCCCATGGCTGTAGCTCATGATTTTTCGTAATTATATGAGCTTGGTAATCTTTTTTATATATATTTCAGCATTGGCTAATAGGGCATACACACTTAAATCGAACGTTGCAATATTTCAGTTATATTTCCAGTCACAAAAATTAAAGCCACATCCAAATGAGTCCAAATTTTGAGAAACAGTGCAAAGTGATGTGATTTAACCAATATTATTTTTTCAAAACTTTTAAAAATGTTTCTATTACGACGAAGTAATTCCAGATTTGGAAGAAATTAGAAAACATGTATGATATGAAGGAAATCGAAAAAAATGAAGCAATACCTGATGGTTTGTTGGAAGAATCGGAATTTTGTTTACCGGAAGATGATTTTGGTGATTTATTGCGCAAGAAAGATGAATTGAGCAAAGGTTTTCTTGCTCCCCAAACTAGTAGTAATCAATCGGTTCCGCGAAGAAAGCAGCGGGATTCCGGTATGTATTTTTTATTGAAGTGTTGAATTTACTGCAACTTTTTCCCATTTCACTGTAATTGGTAACTGTTCAGTTCGCATCGATAACTTTTCATAATATTGAAAGGAATCTATTCATCCTACTAGCTTTAAGGGGTATGGAAAATTGATGTTTAAGGGAGTTTAGGATGGCAGCTTCTAAAATCTTGGAAATATCAAAAGTGTAATTTCATAATAATGCTTCATTTTGCAATATTATGTAGCGATTTCAGCTTCTCTAGTCGCTGTCTGATAAACTATACTGTATTTGTCATCAAGAAAAGGAAGTGGAACTAACGAAATTATACCATTCGATGCGTTATCCATGAAATTTCGCAACCGAAAACATTTTAGAAACCTATTTAATGGACTCGCAGTATCAAATTCCCGTGGCATTCAAATTTATAGTTTTCTTTACTGCAAATTGTATGCTATATCCTTATTATAAAACCCCAAGAATTTTTTTTAATTGTTGGCATAATAATTAGCTCAATTATAACTCTGCCTTTGTTTCGTAAATAGAATTTATTATTCATCTTTCTGTATTGTGGTCCTTTTTTGGTTATGGGTAGAAGTACTCCCGGTAATGTTGATTATCGGACGGTGGAAAGGATATTTTTGAGGTAAATTCTGCTGATAGTTAATGATCGAAATGGAAATGTTTGGTAAAATACTTGATAATGATATAATTGTTCGTAACTTGATGACATTATATTTATAATCCTTTTGGACTTAAAGTCAAAAGTTAGGGGGAACTAAGTAAACCAAAAATCATTTGATTGAGATTGTTCTAGGCAAAACAATTTTTATGAAACACTTTGCTTATTTCAATACTACAAAATTATTTCGATTTTTCGTTTTAGTTTCAAGTGTGCCTGAGACGTTTTTCCCATTTATATTTGTATTTTTTTCTTCAGGACTTTGACGGCAGCTTTTTTGGGAATATTTTTCGAAAAAGCAGCAGAACTTAAAATGCATTTTTAATTCATCTGTAAAAATAAAAATACATGCATGCATATATTTTGATTTTGAGACATTTCCTACACTCTCGAATTTTTTGTACTTCCTAAGGATCTCATTTCTTCACTTGCTAGATAAAATTTCTTGATGTCTTAGTCCTTCAATTTTGCATAACACGAAAATATTGGCCGACATATAAAATAAATGATGTATATATGAAATCAGAATGCGTTCCAGAAGTTTCAAACGAATGGAAAATCCGTTATTACAGATTAATTATCCGATAGATGGAAACATCCAATACTCAACATTGCAGATACGTTAACAATTCAGGAACAAAACCAGTGAATTGTTGGAGACTGATAATTTGCAGGAATTGATATAATCCATCTGCTGGAACTATTATCAGTTGCCAAACTTTTGATATTTCATATTTTTTGAGTTTTTGCTTAAGTTGATCATGACAGTCTTATGACTTATCCATGTTTTTCATGGGATATCTCTCCATGTTCATCGAATCGATGACTGTTGAAGGAGTGATCAAAAATTATTAAGTACGAATTTTTACTTTTATTTTGTGGATTTCCGAATAGTGTCCAGGTAAAATAACATCTAATTTAAGTTTTACAATAATTAATAAAATTGGCAAAGGTCTGGAAATGGACGGGAAATCGCTCTTTTAATTTAGCTTAAATGAAATAAAAGTGGTTTGTTGCTGAATCTTCATTTGCAATTTTTAGTCGTTTACTGGTCAGTTGTTTTTGCACTCCTCTGCTGAAATTTGTCAAAAGACAGTTATGCACCTAGATTTTTTTCATGCTAAAAAAATGCTTTCGTTGCAGTTGTCTTAGAAGGTATATCAAAAAGGATAAAAAGAATGTAATTATTCAGATACTTTGGATTATTTCAATATAGTCATGAAACACGATCTGTTTCAAGAATTTAACTGTTTGTAAAAAAATACTAAAATTTTTTTTTTTTAAAATTGACTTTTGGTTTACACAAGTTTGTTTATATGTACGATATGAGTCACACAAGTTAATTAACCCCATGAAATTAAAAAAAAAAATTTTACAGAAAAATTATATCAATGTTGCATGCAAAGGTTTGTTCCTATTTCTAAAATTTTGCTTTCCGTAGTTTGAAATATTTAAAGGGAAATCAAGTACGAGATTAATATTTTGAGATTCTGTTAAGAAATTTTCTAGTATGGTCACATAAAAAAAAAGAAGCCTCCGAAAAAATTCAACTAGCTGTTTCCAGCACGAAAAAAATCCAAAAAGTGCCAGTGATTCGAAAATTTCAAAGAAGGTTGATACTGATGACACAAATGTATGATTTATTGGAACTTTTCAAAGGGACTTTTAATTCTGATGTTTTTTTTTTCGAATATTAATTTTTTCTTATGGTGATTATTTGTCCCAGTCATTTTTAAATCCAGATAAAATGTGAGCACATGTGGCCGACACCATCGGATATGGCATTATTGAAGGGTAAACCATATTCGGAGTGGGTACAGCCTGAACCTCTATCAGTTCAGCAGATAGATTTCTACTTGGGTCGTGTTCCAGAATGGTATATCGAGCAAAAATTTCTGAAAAAGCCTGGTATTTATTCCCGAATAATCTCCGAATTCAAATAGTTCTATCAATTTTTTTATTTAATTATGTAGATTTAATAACATCTCTAAATTACGTGAAGTTTTCCAAAAAGAAATTTTATCAAAAAAGTTTCACTCTTTAATTATTATGACTTCTATAGCAGGAGAGCCAGAATATTGACTGAAACTTCTTCGAAAAAGATCAATTATATTAATTAAACTAAACTAATTCAATTCGAGTGATATCAAAACAGAAGAAAAAAAAAACGGCTCTAAAATATTGAGCTCTTCCTAAACTCGAAATTTCTCGATAAATCACTTCGATGTTAACGAAAAACGTGACTTTTTTGTTGACATCTATTGATTGATGTCCATTAACTTATTAATTACTCAATTATCATACAAACGTAATTGAATGGAAGAAGGTGAAGGTTACGACAAGCATTTCAGGAGATTATCTTCTGGCCCGTGGTCATAACAACAAATTACGTCTGTCAATAAAATCACATGAACCTGGCAATCCTGCAGTACATTTGCCCATTGAATTTTGTCAAACAAAGCAGGTCAGTAATATCACATCGGTTCCTTAATTCGTAGAAATATGCGTTGAAATTTAGATTTCAATTGAAATTTTAATTGTACGTGACATGATTATGCAAAATGATATGCAATACATTAAAGTAATGAAATACTGAAGAAGAATGAAATAATTTGTTTTCGTCTTGGCAAATATTGACTGAAATATATTTTCTAATGTTTCGTTTTTTTTAAGCAAAACTTTTTTTTTTGCAGATACGAGGTGACAGGAATTATTATTATCGAATTGAGAAAACCGTTTTGCAGAATCGCTCAGTTTGGGGATTAATTCAATCGTATCAAAAGAGTAATGTAAATGATATTTTATGATCTTTTCATTATTTTCACTTCTTACCCTTTTTTTGTGTAAAATGTAAAATTTGCAAAATTTTAAATCACCATACAAATTAGAATTTCAAATTGTAAATTATATGAAACGATCATTTTCACGGGTTGCAATCTGATAAAATGGAATCTGTTTTATAATCTAGTAGACTTGGAATTTATTCATTTTTAAATTTCATTACACACATATAACATGACCGATAAGTGCATATTTAATTAATTAAAACTTCAAGCACGCGTTGGATCAATCAAGTTTTCTATTTAGGTGAACAGTTTGAAGATAAACACAAAACGTGACGTACGTCTGTTAGAACCAGTATTGCCATGTCAAGGATGCCGTTACCTAACAACTGAATACTCATTTCTAAATATGCAAATTAAAGAAAAATCAGAAATAAATATCGGTGACTTAATTTGCAAAGGTGAAAGATCAACAGTAAGCTTTCTTTCTTTTTTACAAAGACGAAAGATCAACAGTAACTTTTACGCATTTATTTTTCAATTCATAAAATTTAACAGTTTATGTACCTGTGAATGTATTATTATCGCTTAATTAATCACTTCAAAAATTCGATCGTTCGAATTTCAGATTTACAAAGGTACTCGTTATTTAACCAAAAAAGGTTTGATTAAATCGGTAACAGAACGACCGATCATTTTGAAGGAAATGGATGAATGTACTGCTGCAATGCTCGATGATATATTCAGGGTAAAATTATCACTGAACTTTTTTATAAAACGATTAATCGATGGTCAATGAATGCTTTAAATTCAAAAAATCTTACAAGAAAAAAATCAGATTGTTTATTGTGCAATGAATCTCTTTTACAATTAATATTTGACAAAATCTTAACTACTTCTCATTTGAATATTGACAATTGTTGGAAATTCTTGTATTTTTTACGCAAAACTAAATCATACTATAACCGTTCTATTACCTTAATGAAAGGCATAGCCATCCATAAGTTCTTCAAAGATTGAAGTTCATCGTTAACTGTTAAATTATCCTGCCATGTGATCCATTGATTAAGTTACAATTCAACTGACGCAAAAATGAATGAAATGGAGAAACAATTAAACAAATTTCTGCTCTTTCAGGAATTGCACATAGTAAGTACAATTCGACATGAAATTGGACCTGAAACGGTAGTGAATATCGAAGCAATTATGGTTTTTGGTCGACCGTATTATATCGCTTATATGCTATGTAAGAAAGGCTCATTAGTGCAATATCTCACAAAGAATATCATCGATATGGATACTCGAATAAAGGTCTATTTTTAATTTTTTTTTTGATTTTAAACATTTGAAAATTTTTGAAATTACTCATGCAAAAAATGTTCGTATAAATGAGGAGTGATAATGATATTTGGTGCAAATGTCTCATTTGAAAAACAATATCAATCAATTAGGATTAGAATTTAAAATATTTGAAGCATTTTTTTTTCGAAATTCATCAATTCTTTCAATTTCTTTTTTTTTTTTATATGAAGGAGATATTGCAAAACGTAGCATATACTCTGCATCACTGTCATAAGATTTCCATTATTCATGGAAATTTGAGAGCTAAAAATATATTTGTTGATAACGATGATAAAACAGCCAAACCGATTTACTACATTGGAGGTTTTCATCATGCAGTTATGGCCAAGTATGTTCTGTTATCCGTTTTTTTTTTTTTTTTTGTGAAAATAGAATAAACTTCCAGGAATTATTTCAAATTTTTAATATTAAATTTGCTACTTGGAAGGTAATAACAACATTTGGTTGTTTTCTAAAATAGATTTACTTCTTTTAAGTATTTTTTTTCTACTTAAAACATATATAGGAGTTTAATTTCAATGACAAACAGGAAGTTTAAATGAACCACTAAATTAAATTAATTCAGATCAAAAAAAGTAAATCCCAATGAATTACCAAACAAACGTTGGCTTGCACCAGAAGTTTTAACAACGAAACTATTAACACCAGAATCAGATGTATTTGCATTTGCATTTTTGATGTATGAAGTTCTTACGATGAAAGTACCACATGAGACAATTGAGGATAAAAAAGTGCTCGATTATATCAGCAAAAATCCATATGCTCGTCCAAGTAAGTCTATTTTTTTCAAATTTCACCACCATTTCTGTTCCATAGAGAAAAAAAAATCGGAATAATTGCAAAAGTTATTTCTTATCATACATTTTCAGCAGTACCATCAACAGTTCCAAATTGGTTGAGAGAATTGGTGAATGAATGTTGGAGTACACGTCCAGAGAAAAGACCTAAAATGTCAAATGTATGGAAAGAATTGAAGAACAACAAATAATGTCAAATCATTTAAATTAATTATCATTGTTATTCTTTATTAGCAATGCATATCTGCTATCTACTACCAACAAAATAATCATCCATACTTATAATTAAGAAATGATATTCAAAGAGAACATTTCTTGATGAAATTAATCCCAGAAAAGAGAGCAAAGATTACAAGCTATTTCTCATTCCATTTTTGAACTATCGTCATCTATAACCAATTCAAATTTTAATTGTGCATTATGTTGCCAAATAAAAAAGTAAAGTGTAATCTAAGATCATTACATATCATTACAGATTCTTTTTTCTCTCTGGCTGTTCCGTTCCGTTCCGTTCCATTCCCTTTTTCATTCTCGGCTAATATCACTCGACTTGTACGAAGGAAATAGGGAGATGCATAATTTGTTTCATTTCCGTTTCGAATCCCGATTAACTCTACGAAGGAAGTACAGAGAGACGTAAAATGGACGGCGAGATTAAAAATTTCAAATTTATTATGTATGGAAGATGAATTGCATATGCGTGGCATAAAGATAGAAGTCGAAGGATGGGGAGTGGACGGGGAGGGCTTTCCGCATTTCACGTGTAGGTTTGGCGTCAGATGGTTTATTTATGCGTAGTTCAGTTGATACGGGCTATTGGCATGTTGAAAATTACTGTAAAGATATACTTGAATGCTTTCTGCGATGTGAAGAAACATTTGACGTAAGTGATGAGCACCTGTGGCGTCACGTATGGAAGCATATTGTATTCCGCATATATGTAATATGCATACGATATTTGTTTTTTTTTTTAGATGACTAGTTCACAATATGATGGAAATATATCCATAAATACAGTTGAAAGTTTCCGTTCCACGCAAGAGGTTGACACTACATTGAATACAACACAATATTGCTTCCTGCATGACGATTTTTTCCTAGTGAAAGGTTTGTAGAACTTTAATTTATTTATAGGGCCTTCAATGGAAGTTATGATAACTCAAAAATAAATCAAATGTTTCCTCTTTGTTCAGGAAAAAATCTGTAAATCACATGGAATGTATAGAAAAGTTAACATTATATTACTGAATCTGATAAAGCTGATAAAGCTTTTTATTGCGTTAGAATATTTCTTCTATAAACCTTTTATTATTCTAAAAATGTCTTTATTTATTCTTCGAAATATGTTAAAATATCATCTTTGATTGTCAGCTTGCCACATCTTTTCTTTCACAATCCAACGATTAATTTCAGTTACCCAGGCATTGTTCGAAGATTTCCAAGTGAAATGCATAGATTCAGAGAACGTTAACGAGTCTTCTGATTTAGTTGCTTTATTTTATGAAGTAAATTTAATTTTAATTTATTCTAATAAGCGTGGAGTAGTTGATAATTGTGTTACCGACATCGCCAGTGATTACTCTTTTACATTACTATTGTTTTCACTTAAATAAAGGGGTCTTTTTATAATGTCAGATAATAAAATAATGTTTATGGTGTGCTTTAGGACTCAAGTTGGTATTTATGTAGTATGGTTTCAGATATGTAGCGATGGGATAGCGGCTTTTCAAAAAGTATCGATGAGACCAGAGAGAACAACAACTTTAATGTCCGTTTTACAACAGCTTTTAAAAGAGCAACAAGCCTATCTTTTGTTGTTAAATCTTGCCAAAATGAATCGAATGTTAGATGACCTGAAGGTTAAATCAAAATTTGTTTTTAATTTACATTTTAAATATTTTTACCTAAAACATTTCTTTGTACGATCACGAATACAAGAAGTTAAGCAGTTCTAATTTTAACAAGTAAATTTACTTAAATAATCAAAGACAAATACATAGTTCTGTTTCAAAGCAGATTTCTCCGAACTTATGCAATTGATAGCTTTCTTTTTTTTAATATTATGTTTTTCGGTTTGTTTGATTTTTTTTTACAGCTTTTACAGTGTCTTGCAGAATTTGGAGAAGCGATCTGTTCTTGCTGATTTATTAATCAGTGATGTGGAATTCAGAAGATTACTGGTGACTTCTTAAAAAATCGTTTCAGAGAAAGTAACTTCAGGGAACTATTGTATTTAAAAGGAATATAAGAGAAAAAGTTATCTAAATTCTTTATAATTTCTGCTGATGTCGATTATTACCTATAAACTTTTTTAAGGTGCTTTTGGAATGGTGTGAAGAGAATGCCTATAATGAACCTGAGGCAAACGCTGAATTATCAAACGAATGTGTACATCTCGAAAAGAATTGCATGTTACGGTGAAGTTTTGTTATTTATTGTGGTATTATTGTATAGCGAATCTTTAGCCTTTACTTTTACAGAAATTGATCAGGAGAATGTAAGAAATATAATACTATCGAAGATTATGCGCCCAGTAATTGATGAAATAGACCTCTTTGCCAGTTAAAACCAAAAATTCAAGACACTATAATGTTTTGTTGTGATTATTTGGATGGAAAAATACGGTGTTTCTGCATTAAAATAGGATCAAAAAGCGCGTGTGACATTTGCTTCTAGTTTTTCATTTTTCTCTCTTTTGATTTAAACATATTCTGTTTTTATGATTTTAATTATGAAAATGTTATAAAATACAAAGGTAATCATTCAATTATTACAATTATACGTCTGCTCTCATCGAAATAATTTTATCTGAAGCACATTAGTAAAGGATTTCTTCCTTCATTACTCTTTTTTGTGTCGTATTAAGTATCTTTATTTATAGAGCGGAAACATTACATGCTCGAATTTGTGGTGAAAATCTTTGTGATTTGGTAATCATTTTATCCATTTCTGTGCTTTAAAAGAGGATTTTTCATGTGTTAATAAGTGGCTATCCTTTATGGAAGAATAATGTAATTAAAGTTTTATCTTACTTCTCTTTTTAGTGCTATGTGTTTATTTCAGAACATGTAAGTAATAGTACCATCTTTAGGAAAACGATATCCAATAAGAGAAGAGACTTGTACTATATTCGTCTTATAGGATCTGTTTATTTTCAAGTAAATGTGAATTTAAGAAATCAATTTAGGATCAGTTATTACTATCGATTCTCTCAATTTGCAGGATTTAGACGGCGCACTTCATGGGCGTTTACACAATAAAGACGAAGAATTAGAAAACAGAGTGTTCAGCGTGATTTACACACTAGTGCGATGTGGTCATATTGATGACGTATTTCTTGATTTACATTTTCAGTCTCTTCACAATCTGATAAATGAATGGGCTGTCATTCGATCATTTAATTTCGATTTTTTAGGCATCTTCGTTGTTAGAAAAGGCTGGTCTTCATTCTTTAATGCCTCTGCTACAACTAAGAAAAATGTCACGGAGTGTCGCTTTAACACCAATTTCTTCAGATGAAACCTCTTATTATTTGGCTCGATCCCGTGCCTTTCTTAAACGCACTATTGATAAAATACTTTCTAAAGTGAGTTTCAACGATTTCAAAAATTAATTTGAAGGAATTTGTTGTGAAAGGAAATTCGTTTAAGTCAGTGAAGTCCTCAGCAGATGGGAGACTTATGTTCATTCAAGTGAAGTACTTCTCTATCAGTATTCATCTAATTGATTTTTTTTGGTAATAACTGCAAATCTTTCTTTTTTCCCTTCACTCTTTCTAGTGTGATTTGCGTTTATTTATGATTTACTTATTATGACTTATATTTATGATTTACATTTGCTATACATTTATTTTCTCACTTTATATCTAAATTTTTTCATAGGCGTCGTTTTCTTGCACAATAAGTTTGAAATTTTTGTGTCAGGCCACATCATTGTCGCAGGTAGAAGCCTGTCTGTGGTCAGTGGTAGCTGGACGTCTCGAACCGGCATTATCTTTGTCTTCTTGCACTGAAGATCGTCTCTGGTGTTATCTCAATGCAGCCGTTGAATCTCGTTTGGATGCCGCAATAATCACCGCTCATAATGGCGATTGTGATGTTGGTATTGGTCGTGAAGTTGAAAATAACGACCTTCGAATTAATTCTATCTTCGATGAAATTGCTACGGTTTGTCTTTAACAAATAACATTCCATGCATTCTAAGAGATTTTCAATTTTTTGATATTATTAAATCCAAAGAGATTTAATTCTCTTTTATTACCAGAAATAGTAATTTTGTTTTAGTTTCAATTTAAAATTCAATTTCAAATAATTATAAGTTATGAAACTAATATGTTCTGCTTCAAATTCGAATTTTAAAAGTCATTAAGAAAATGCTGTTGAAGTAAAGGTCTGCTTTCTTCTTTATTTTAAGCTGTTCTTACTTTCAGCTTGAACGATCTCCGTATTATACTATTTATCGACACATAGTAAACAATGATTCTTTATCGCTGATTGCATCTATGGATATGTGGCTGGAAGAGCATGAGAATGATTTAGAAAGATTTCCACATATTATTCGTTTTATGGCTCATCTTGTTTTACTTCTTCGATTCACTGGTCAGCCAGTCCAGGTGGGAATATATCATTTTTCTTTAGTCTGACAGTTTTGTACACAGTATCTAGAAGAACTAATATGTAAATATGGCGAGAATTGTTTCAGAAGCTTATTTAGAAAATGCTGCTATTTACTGGTCAGGGAAAAGTGAGATGTTTCGATCCATAGAAAGTTTCGCCGTAAAATTTGTTAAAAAATAAAATTGAAAATCGGACATGTCTGTGAAGCGGAAGTGCTTGGTTAATTCGGTCTGCATAACTGGCAAACTACCAATTTGCTTCATGTTTTCCTCTTTGTCTATTTTTATAAAAGTTAAGTTTTCTAAAACTCGGTCAGATTTTATGAATTGCAAGCATACTTCATCATTAGTCGGATGTATTTGAATATCTTGATTTTTTCTTTTGATTTTGGCTACCAAATGTATAAAACTGAAAATTTCTCTTGATTTTAGGAAGAAAGTGCCAATTCGATCATGCGCAATTACGTTCGCTTATTGATTTTGTTGAAGTTATACCCTATTGTGCCATATTATGCTAACAAATTGCCATTGGAAATGGCTGAAGAGATGGTTGTTGAGTTCATGTGCCGTAAGTTTTTTTAAATTCACTTTTATCGTAACTTCTGGTAACATTCTCGCTTCATTTACTTTTATTACAACATCTATTAATTATCTGAAAGGGTATTTATTTCTATTGGTAATGAATTATACACTTTGGATCATTAACGGAACTTATACAATATGTTATTTATTATTTCTGTCATTACCGTCATTTTTAATTATTGTTTTTTAGAATTGGAAGATGAGAATATGCGGAAAGATGTCCTTGATGCTGCTGGTGTTGCAAAAATGGATGGAGTTCGTTTGTGCAAACAGATTTTTAATTGTATAATTGCTCGATATCCAGTTGTTGAAGAAGTAATATGCTTTGACTTTTTTTTTTCATTTTGATTATTAGTTGCTTATATGAGTTTTGAACAAAAACCGCTTTATATATTAATCACCGTTTTCTTTTTTTAATTCAAACTTATTGCATTTTTTATTCTTTGAAATTTTACAGGAATCTGAGAGAGATGATGCGTTAATTAATGCGTGGAACTGGTTAATATATCCGGGTAGTGATACATATTATGATGCTTTATTAGGCATGAATGAAATAATGCGTGAATTTTTTTGTAAGTTTTGTTATATTTATGGTTTTGCATGGTATTCTAATTTCATTCCACATACGTTTCAGATGTAAGAAAGTTTTTGTGATTAGCAACGGATGTAATACTACATAAAAGATCCATTTCTGGGAAGGTATTATTGTTATGAATTACGAATCAGATTTTTTGGAATTTCAGTATGGTTTTTTAGATGTTGACAAATTGGACAAAGCAAAAGAACTTCTGCAACGGTCAAAAAAATTGATTGATAAAATATTGGAATCATTTTCATGCGTTATTGAGACTAGCGATACAGTTGATCCGAGGCTTTTAAGAGCTATTACTGAATACAGAGCGTATGAATGCTACTTAGTTAGTTTTAGATTTCATTTGCTGAAAAGGGAAGAAATCATTCTTTAAAAGAAATCACTTTCAGAATGAAACTTTTTTTCACCAGCATCATAATTTTTCTATATATAACTTAGATGGTTTTCTTTTTCTGACCTTTCTGATGTTTAATATATGGTTAAGATATTTTAGAATGCTTTGATAAAATTTAACGAATGGTTCAAGCATTCACAACGTTCAGTGCCAACGATTCTGGAGAACTCAATGGATGATACGGGAGCATTAATAGATATGCAACAAAGGATAACATTTGAAGTGATACATCAGCGCGCAAATGAACAAATGCAGAAATATGAAAATGCTGCAAAACAGAGCGCTATTGTTAGTTTTAAATTTAACTTCACACAGTATTACAGATGAGTGCTGGTTGCAGTTAAATCAAGTTTTTTACTTGTGAGACCAAGCTTTGCCTTTCCACAAACGCATTTTTGCATGTTTTGAGAATACATTGTTTAGGCGGCGATGGAAGCTCTCGATCTTGTGCTACGCTTTCCAGATGGTTGGATGACATTCAAGAGAGTAGAGAAGGAGACACTAAGTGAGGTAATAGTGAAGGATGTCAATCTTATCTATAAGAGTTTTTATCAAGTTATATCTTCAAAAAAATTCTATAACTGCTTAATGATGGGATCAAGCAGTTATAAAAGTTGAAACGTTAAATGCAAAAGAATAGTGATTAAGGATTCAAGTTAATATTTTTATTTACTGTCGTTCAGCAAGAAGTCACAAAATTCACTGAAATAAGGTCTCGGTATATCACTGCAGTTGTTGTTATGCTAGTTACTCTATTTCAAAAAAGCGGTATAAATGGATCTGCACAGTTGGTGGAATTACTAGCCGATGAGGAGTACATGTTGGCAGAAGTAAGTTTTTATTTTCGATTTTGTTATTTCACTGATAATGCATAAGATTGCGAAAGATATTTCGACGACTTTGTTTTTGACTTATACAGTAGTAGAAAGTTCCCATGAATTTTCAAAAACTTTCATTTTTTCCTGTATTCAATTTGTATTCTTATTTTTTTAGTTCTTATTTGCATAATTGTTTTTAAGTTTCACATCGTCTTTTCAGATCATACCAAAAGAACAATTGCGGATACTTATAAAACAGCTTTCAGTGAATGCTTACAAAAGTTTGTGAAACAGAATTTGATGTGTGTTACTGCATATATAATGCTCCTTGATCTGAACTTTTTCCTATGAAAAATGAAAAGAATGTTAATTTGAAATCTAAGCTTCACTACCTTTGTGGATGTTCATAAAAAAGATTTCGGTGAATGGTTACAGGAGCTTGTGTTATGTTGATTTATGATATGGTATTTTCACTATTAAATTTTTACTATTGAGAATTTTTTATTTAGAATTATGTTGTCTAAAAAAATATTTTATTGGACTGTAAAAGTTAAGATATGAAACAGACAATATAAATCTGAGAAATTAGCACTTGTAATGACGGGCAGTTATAGCAGTGTTGCTGCCGATTTAATATAATTTCAAATTCGATTAAGTAAACTAAGGAATTCTCCTTTCATTGGTTTGAATTCGTTCAGTAGTCTGCTGAACAGTTGCTGATGATTCAGGAATGGGAGATAACTGAAATATTTTTCAATTATTGAGGGAATTCTCGTTACAAAAAACTCTTTAAAACTGTTAATTGAAATCTACGAAAAAATTAGAAAACTTACTTTGAAAAACAAACAGGAGATAATCTCAAACTAGCTTTGCAATAAATTATATCAAAACTAATACGAAATATAAAAGCAGACAATTGCTTCTAATCTTTAAGTACAAAGTGCCAAATATTGGACTACCTGATCAAGGAAGGATTTGTTGGGATATGGTGTCGAGAATTTAGATGAGCTAGCTGTGGTACTGGGAGATGCTGGTTTCTTGTCCTTTACAGAATCCGAAAGCTCTAATATGCGTCTCGCCAATTTTTCATATTCTTCCGACCTGAAGTATTCTATCCACATCACAAATGACATGAGGCGATGCGATTAGGACAATACTTCAAAACTGAACGCTTAGCAGTTTATTTCCTAATTGAAGCAAGTTACAATTAGTACCGTAAGATTTCAAACATCATTAGTAGGACATATCTTGATTTGAACGAATAAAATCAGGTGAAATAGCGGGGTAGCGGAACTTACTTTTCTTGTCGCATTATCATCTGCTTCTCCAGTTCTTCAAATGTATCTTTATGCTTCCTTTCGATACTTTCATAACGTTCTTTACATTTTTGTAATTCATTTTCATGATTTTTTACCTATAACTTATAATATAAACATTACGGAATAGGATGAGAACTTCGAATTATTCAAGTTTTACTCTCACTCTTCGATGTTTTCTCAATAAGTCTTAATTTTGCTCTCGTAAATATCTTACGTTTGAACATAGATTTCGTTAAATGAAGAGAAAGCTCAACATATTTTCAAATTAAATTACCTTTGAACTGAATTGAATAAGATGAATCGTTTACGGAAAAATGTAGAAATTATCAGGGCTTACTTTTTGCAGTAAGTCGCGATTCTGCTCTTGTAAATATTCTACTTCTTTCATTTTTTCATTCATCTGTAATATTTTCAATTTGATTTCTTCATTAATTTGCAAAGTCTCAGTCTAGACTTTCTTTCAATGGAACAGAATTACCTTTTGATACATATCGAAATTTATCTCTTTTAAACCTTCAACATCGGTTGTAAGATTCGTAACGTTGTCAGTTAATGAATTTCCCTGAAAAAAATTTCTTTCGGTTAAAATTTGATTGCTTCACAAACAAATGATAGATTTTGAAAAATGATAAAATCTATAAAATTTAAAAAAGCAATGCAAATATTAAAATAAAAACGTCCATATCAGAAATAAAATAATAACCTTTTTAAGTAATTCCTCACATCGTTCAGCAAGAATGATTTTTTCTTGTCTCAAAGATTTGTTTTCATTCGACAATGATTCAGATAATACTTTTAAAGCATCGAGTTGCTTTTGCACCCTTCCACGAGATTCTCTTGCGCTTTCTTCAGACTTTCGATACTGCTCCAGCTAAAATAGCAACAGCTTATTTCATTAATTTTTAAGATTTCTTCCGTTAAATCTCTAAATTTTATGCATTTAATTATTCATCACAATAAAAAGTAGGTGAATTCATTAAAAATTCATACCCTCTGAGAGCATACCTCTGAGATAACCCGTCGGTTACGTTCTTTTTCTGTTTGCAACTTTTCTTCTGCTTTCAATAGTTCCATCTTCAGTGATTTTTCTGATTCTCTCATCTGCAAACAATGAAATTATGAAATATCCACGAAATTCCTGACATTCAAATTTTTTAAACTTTAAAATTTTATGAAATAAACGAACCGAAGCAATTTCTGCTGGCTTTATCTCTTTCTCTTGCGCAAAATCAATTTGCTGATTGAGAGTTTTCACTTTCATTTCCAATCGCGTTATTTCCGCTGATAAATGTGAATTCTCTTTTATCAAAGCATTATTTTCTTCCAAAGCCTATAATTTGAAAAAAAAGTGAAAAAGATTAAATTCCATATTTGTTATATTTTCAACGAATTTATGAATTCCATCTTAAATATCTGTCAATTAATAGGAAAGATAAAAACAAATTCAAAGATTGCCTTTTCTGCAACAGCTTTATCCTTTTTAGCTGTTAACTGTTCTTCACGCAATGAGCGCTTCATCGAAGTAATATCATTCTGAAAAAAAGAAGAAAAAAATCTTTTCATCATACAATCTCGTGAATTATGAATAATTAGATAATTCAGTTTTCATCAAATTACTTTCAATATTACTCTTATACTTATGCATAAAATTTTAGCTGGTCTGTCGGACTAATTTCATTTAGAAATCACTTCGAAAGTTCGTGCATAAAAAAAAAATATTATAGTATCATAAAATATTTACTCCATCCATTATTGTAAACATTGAGAATTATTACTAACAATCAGTGATGCTTCCTTATTTTCCATTTCTTTTAGTATATTTTCCAAATGTCGAATTGTCTTCAACAATCGATCAATCTCATTTTTCCGCTCTTCTTCAGCATCAAATAATGCTTTCTCTTCACGATTTTTTTCATTGATTGTCATCTGAACGAAAACGATTAATATTGAAATGTTTTTGAAACAGCATTGAGTTCAACTGACATTATCTGTAAATCTTTATTTCAATCATTATTCATTGATAATATTCATTCTCATCTTTTAATACAAAAATTAATTATGTTCGATAAATCTTAGAATAATTTGCTTGCACTTCTTCTTCTTCTTTAACGATCCTCTTAAATTTTTCCTAACTTTTTAAATTTAGTATAAAACGAATAAGAAATCTCCCAAGTTTACCAAAATGTATCCTTGAAATACTGAAATATAAAATAAAAAGGTACTACGCGCATACTAGCAAACAGACAATAGTATAATTATCAAACAATAGTGTAATTTTGGGAATTTCTCCAATAAGTTTTTTGCGCATTTATTCACCTGTATTTCGCTTAACTGATTAGTTGCATGCCTTAATTTATCAGCCAATTCGTCCTTTTCAATTTCCATTTTTGTCACATGTGATTCCTGTCAGTATATAGATTTTTTTACAAATGAAAACACCATCTGCTAAATGATAAAATTATAACTAGCATTTCTCGTTCTACACCAAAAAGATGTGAAGCACTAACAAAACCTTATCAGCCAGCGCAGGTGTTAGATAATCAAGTCTTCTTTGTAGTTCCACCACTTCTTCCATCAACGCACGTTTGTCTCGTGCAAAATGTTCTTAAATAGATTTGATAATTTCGCAAGTATTTTAGATTTAGTTTTAATCACCACATGTCTTTGGTCTTAATGAAACAATAAAGCTTAAATGAGGAAGTCTAATTATTTCTCAAAAGAGGTTACTTTTGCTAAAAACTGGTATTATTTTTTCAGGCTTAGCTGGTAATCAATTTCAAACAGTACAACATTCAAACTTAATATTTAAAAAGTTAATACAAAGATTATTGAAGTGATTGTTGCACTAATAAAAAAATGGTTGCCTTCATGAAAATTAAGTTAGAAGGGTTGGTAAGATCATATGATAAATTATAAGAAAAGTTAAAACCGGGTATTATTAACAATACAACAAAACAAATTTCAATCAATTTTCCGCTAAAATTAATTATAGTTGGGAATGAATTAAATGCAATACTTTTACAGTTGACTAATGCCCGGAATGCAGTAAAAGATAAATATGATGTAATGAATATAAAAACCATCAATTACCAACCTTCATTTCTTTGCAATTTTGCATTCAATTCTTCGATGTAATCAGATAATTGAGTATTTTCATAAGCAATCCTCTCAATTTCAGTTGTTTTTTGTTTTAAACGTTCTTCCAATTT